AGGTAAATTCTCAAATCGATATGAATTATCTGAGAATAAAAACAACTGTAACCATCTAAGCTATGACTAATAGTTCACTGAAATATAAAATTAATAATTATTGTTATTATTATGTCATTCAAATGGTCATTAGATGCATTAAATGTTAATGGAAAGAGATGTATATAATGAACAAAAATTAAAAACAATCTTAAACATCATTAAAGCATTTTCGATAATATCAGCCGTTGAAATTATAAAAATATGTTTTACATAAAACACGCCATTTCAGATGTATTCATGTAACTAATTAGCAATCTTATGATTAAACAGATGTGAACTGATTGGTTGAATAAACATTTATACTATGTTGAACAGCTGCTCTCAACTTAAATCACCTGTTCTGATGTTTTGAAAACTATACTAATATGATTATTCATGAGAAAAAAATCAAAGACTAGCCAAATAAATTTAAATCACTGTCCCGCTCTACTGATTACAATAATTTAATGCAGTGTGAGCCGTTCCTTCATTCAAGATTGTTGATACGGCTTCACATTTTAGGTATGAACTCATGATTTTTGCTTCCACCTCGTGAATATAAGAAATTACGGAATAACTGACTAACTTCTGGGCTAGGGATTCTCATTTCATTGATATTCTCAAGTCTTTCTATGTTGTGAGTGGGCTTAATGTCATACTGTTAATTATCAGTTCACAAATATGCATATGTTGTTGAATGAAAGTGAATATCACAGAGTAAAATATGTGTCTCAAATACTATGTCTTTACTATATTTTGATAAAATTAACCGATTTCAGACATTAAGGAAGTGGGTATCAATAACTCAATAATGATTCAAATCCACAATATTTAGAATTTGTCAAAAGCATGTTCTCATTCATTAATTAAACTGAAATATCGAGGTTTAGATATTCTAGCTTAGATTAGCATGAAAAATACCATTTTACTATAGTATTGCTGATCATATCTTTAGATCCCCACTTACTTAACATTTTGCTCTAATATTTGGCTAAACAATCCAGTGTTTAATGTCAGATTTTTAACTGTTTAGTTCACTCTGATTAGTTAAACATCGCTATCATAAAGATGAATTTCGGTAGTGCAAATGTTTCACAGAGGAAATAATTGACGAGGAGCTAGCATTTAATCGGTAGGTAGTGGAACAACTAGTTTTCGAACGAAACATCTCTTTTGTGAAGCTCAGATAGTACAATCACACTACTACTTATACGAACGATATAAGTAGTATAAGAAGAAGTCTCACGGTCAGAAGACGAAAACGGAAAGCAAATGGAGCAAAAGCAAGAAATGAATGGAGTACCAACAGGAAGGGAAGGAAGCAACAACAGGAATAGAAGAAGGATGGAGCGTTGGAAGTTAAGAATCAAAGATGGAGTGCAAATAGAGTATTCAATGTAATGATTTCGTTTTTAACTAACTCAGAGTGTAAATTAGCATAATATAATTTTCCTCGCCTGCCTCAGTCTTCTCATTACTACTACTACTACTACTACTACTACTACTACTACTACTACTACTACTCACTAGTATCTATCTTGTAATAGATTTAGCGCCAATCGAACTGAAATACATAAAACGAAATTTAGTTGAATGGACTGAAGTCTCAGGTCCGTTTCTTTTTGATAAGATTGATACTGTTCATCTAATGTCAGTAAGAGTAAATCCCAATCTAACAATACTTATTTTTACTGTGAATTATTATGTGTCCGTTACCTCTGTGAATAGAATAAATGTTCATGTGTTTTTACATGTGATACCATTCAGTACTTGATAATTTCTATAATCCATGTGACAGACATATTTCCCCATGTTGTATGATTGCAAGAAAGTATATGTTAAGAAAAAATGTTATATCGTCATTCTATTGATCCAGTTCACATTTGTTTATTGAACCAATCAAATTTTTTGTTGACGTTATGTTATCCTCATTTACGAACTCCCATGATTTTTTTCATCTAAATTTAAAACAAATTAAAAATAATTCAATCTTATACAACATTCTTTCGAGCGTAAACATGTGGATAACAAAAACTTGGGTCTGTGTATATTTCTAGAATAATCTCTAGCTTTTGTCTGATTAAAGTATGTATATGTTGTATGCACTTTGAAAAAAATTTCCACCAACAGTTTCGTTTATTGAATGTTAACGTATATACTACTTATTGGCCAATAAGTATGGCAATACTGACAACGTTTACGCACTAATCAGGTTAGAGTTCAGTTTCCAGTTTGTTCCGAATAATACCAAACCATACGTTGTTATATTCGAAAACGTAGAATTTTTAATTATTGGTGACAGATGGAATTGAATGTAATGAAACATGTCTTTCAATGATACAAATTTTACAACGGGGTCAATATCTTAAAGGAAAATCTGCATACAAATAGCAATCCCGTGGACATAGGATATGAAGGGGATTTTTTCAGCTCAGTGGGAATTTTATGGGACGGAGAGTCAGTCAATCACAACATAGAACCCGGTTTATGAGTACTCAGCATGAATCGAACTTAATAACAGTAGTCATTTGAGTGGGAACTCACTATGAAATTTAAAAGATATTTTGTCTGCCATTAAAAATTATGTTGATCGATCCTGGCTCATAAATGAGAGAAGTGAAGTTTTCGATGTTCACTTAGTGTAAATAGCATGAAATAGTGCAGGCCTACCTAATTTTAGAGAAGACAATTCAACCAACCAGATATTAATCATCAAAGCGGTAGAAGCTTTAACCTCATGTTAAGAAATTAGTACAACCTCAGATCATTCCATAAAATAACATTCTAAGACTGGCCTATAATATTTCATCTTAACTTAATGTAACAAATAAGTCATTAGGATGGACCATTAGTAAATAGAGATATCTTCTGGATTAAGGTGTCTCATGCTAATGATTTGATTCTTGCTCCGATAGTCTATATGTTTCGAATCGTATTATTACTGAGTCTCAGCAAAACATTGTCAACATAAGAAGAGATATTCCTGATTCTTTGGAATTTTCGTACTCCATTTTATATTTGTTCTGTTGCCGTTTATAATAATCACAATAACTAAATACTGATCTCTACTCTGTATTCGTGAACGAAGCTGCTACCTTGACGTGGTGGTTGTGCTTGCCTATCGTGATGACCCAACCGAGCTATACTGGCTGCAACATATATTCCTGAAGGTTCTACCATGCCAGGCAGATCGATTCGAAAACGATGAGCATAAAAGCAGCTACTCAAGGTCTGTGGCCGAAATCGTACTGCTGACTGTAGAGAGGTGTGATAGCAGTAAGTTGTTTCCCTCGGACAAGCAGCATCTGCAGCGATGCTGCCTTCTCACAAGGAAGGAAGGGTTAGAACAGGTCGACCCTCAAAATATCACACCTCAACACACCTCACGGATTTCCATCTCTGTCGGTAAGGGTGCCAACTAAGGGCAGTCAAGAGCGGAACTAACACTCAAAAAACCTTTCATAAAAAGGCCGTGCGTGACAGAAATCCATCAAGTCACTGACAAGTGGACTGAGTCATGTTGATAGATGTAGGCTTCCTGGTTGGGGTCCGCGAAACGATAGTCACCAATGGTTAGATACCTTGAACGACATGGTTCAGAATCGTTTGCAATGGAGCAGATGCATCCACTCTTTGTGTTTTCTCTGAATTCTGAATTCCTCATCATCTCCATCTTTCTCCTTCTAAATTTGTCAAACTGAATTATGCTTTTCGAATCATATCTTCGCTCCCTAATCTTCTCCATTACTGCTAATACTTCTACTATTTCTATCACTCTTGGATTTGAAGTGACAGTTGAGTCTCTTTGCTGATGTGGTATGGCAACCTGAACTGATGTACCTACGTGCGAAGTTCAGCGTTTATCTGTCTGTCTTTTCTTTATTAATTATGAACGTTACAGTGTTACCAGGTTACTAGGTTCATATAACATTACTTTACATTCATAACACATTCTTTATGCAAATTGTTCCTTGTTCATTTAAGTGATAATCGTTTGCCTTCAGAGCATCACTGACAGATCAACTTGCGGAATGATGACTTACCGATTGAAGTCTATAAATTACATTTCTTCATTCGATTAACAATTAGATGTAGTACATTCAAGCATAACTATTGATTTGTTTTTCAAAGAACACTTAGATTTAACCATTCCCTTTGAATACATATATAACTATTTAATATTCAATATTAGAGAGTGAAATGTTTCTATTTAACTTTAGAATTTGTTGTGAAGAAAATACCGAATGTTTCTTATTTAAGGTGCATTCAATGAACAATATGACTTTTAATTCATTCGCATTGTTTGTTTGAATCTTCCCGTTTGACGTTTGGAACTGCAGTCTTTATGACACATGTACATCCTGTACGGAATGCCTTGATATTCCCTTTAGGTTAGACACTTTTCATTCTATGGGAAGATTCAAACATGCAATACAAATGAATTAATCTTCAACCCATTGAACAAGCGAGTAGCTAACTAGACTCAGTAGCTAAGTGGATAACACGTGGAGTTATTTGCGTAAAGTGCTTGGCTGGAGTCATAGATTGTATATGAACTCTGAGATGTAGGTACGTCCATCTGACAAGTCTCAAATAGGATGAAACGCATGTATTGCTAGCCACTGTTCACTTTTATCAATGAAACAACTTTAATATGAATTAGGTTAATCGATTAATTTTGATTTTTAAAATCGGAGAGTCTCAGAGATTAGATCATACTAACAGTTTTTATCCTTAAGTTTTTCTTCAGTTGAATTATTTTATTACAAATCATCATATGCGTGTACTTATGTGAATTTAGTAATAACTGAATTTTGATTAAAAAAATATGTATGAAGGTAAATAAAACCTTTGATGTGATTATGCAATCCATTCATTCAGTCATAATTTTATTGAGATTAATCTACATAAATTAGAAATTACTGATTATTATATGGTATGAAATAATTTATATATTTCGAATACTTTTTCCTACATAGATATCGACAAATTATTCAGCCACATGAACACAACTTTTCTGTTCCATCGTTTGGACATGATTTTCGTATTGCTAACAAAACGAATGAGAAAAATACAACTCAAAAACAGTCGCTGACCGATAAGAATTTCGATTTTAAGCAAACAATGAAAATGGCCATAGCAACAGTCAACCAACCAAAACCTCTGAATTCTGTTGTTACCAACGTAGGTCCATCAGTGGATCAGGCAACTGATTTTACGTACACTTCAAGACCTCAACTTAGAGATACGAACAAGGAACTACAGCCAACCACTGGTCTAAGACGGCAGAATTTCAATGAAAGACAGGAAAGAATGAGTGATAATCCAAAATCTGCTACACCGTCAACAAAGCCATCAACTTACAGACCAGGTTCAGTGTACTTACCAAAATCAAGAAATGATTTCGTTTTCACTGAACAAAATACGAATTCCGAACAAATTAGACCATCACAACTACCAGAGTCAAAACAGTGCAATAATAATACAAGATATACAGTTAATAAAGAAGGTCAAACAGTTCGTTCCTCGTTGCAAAGAGCTTCATCCTTATCCAGAAATCCATATAAATCAGTGCCTTCATTTAGTCCACTGTTGGCACGTAAGTAACGTTCTAAAACTTTATCCGTTTTTTTTGAAAAGAAAACTTGTACAAAATAGCTTTTATAATCAAAAAGGCAACTCAAAGGTTCAGTAGCTTTCTGAGTAGTTTATCTGAACTATGCAGTGTACAAAAGCATAAACAGACATTAATTTATTACTTAGTCTTCAGCTCCCGGAAATCACTTAATTGTTTTTAGGACTCCATAACCAGAGTAGTAAATGTAAAACATCCTAGAATGGAAGACATTTTGTACTAAGAAAATCAATGCAATTACTTATAACTAAGATAATTAGATAATATTTCCAGTGTCCCAGCTTAGTGTATAGAAGATACAGACTTGGAGAGCAGCAAGAGTTCAAGCCGCGAAGGTTACTTGTTGATAGGTATGAGGAAGATTTCTAATAGTCGTCTCTAAACACCTAATACATATATAACAGGTCAGTAGATCACCCTTGGTTTCATGTTTTATTGGTTTTTAAGATTTTTATGTTTCACTGGTTAATATATTGTTTCTTATTTTAAATATACAAAATACAGACTCTGAACTTCGTGGTACTTTTGAAAATCCAACTGGTAATTTAGCGGTTAAAACAGATTTACAATATTCAAATCAAATGACAAGTCAAATGGATTATCCTCAATGGTATGATCATCATCTCTACTACCACCAGCAACAACAACAACAACAACAACAACAACGTCTACAGCAGCCAACAATAATCCAACCTATTCAACCAGTTCAACAACTACATTATAGTGGGTGCGTTTTTCCACAGAACACAGAGGCTTCGTCGCAAGTTCATTCATCATTTCCAAGTAATCAAACGAGTTACTTTAATTCATCCCTATATAATCCCACTAATAATATAGGCGAATGCATGTTTTCTGTCTCTCCACCAGAAGCGAACATTGCTAATACAAGTAACCCATTGTGCGTTATTCCACAAACTTATATCGTTACTCCTAACACTGCTTCATTTTCACACCTAAAAACCTCAGCAGATGCTAGTGAAGCTTCTACTCAGCCAGTTCATCAAACTCAGTTAATACCTGGTACCACAGTTCTTCAGCCACAGGTTGCCATAGTTGCAGTGGATCCAGAAACTTTAAGAGCTATCCTTTCCGGTTCATTCAGCACACAAGCTCTTTTTCAGTCAATAAACATGAGCTCAAACAGTAAAACTAATATAAATATGACATCTTCCATGAATTTACCAACACAAAACACTGATCCAGTTCCTTTGCCAGTCACGAGAACGTATTCTCAACGTTCAGAGATTCCGACCACTTTAGGTCCTGAATCAGATAGTTTCCATGAGACGAACAAAGGAGATAAAAGTATAGATACTTTGTGTTTTGTGGAGGACACAAAAAGCCGAAGTACACCACCATCCTACACTAAAACAGAAAATAAGCCGACTGAAGATCAAGAGCTGATTGAGCACTCAAGTGATGTACAGCTCGAACAGAACTCTTCAAGCGACAAACCACAGAAACCAGTACCTAGACTAGGAAATCCTCCGAGAACACTTAAATTTTTAGACAAGTCAGAGTCATGTGAACCTGGTGGTCAAACCGAAGATAGTCATCATTGTGGGTGGACTAGTGGGCGGGAGCCTAGAAAACTTAAACCATCCAGTTTTATCTTCCGATCTCGAAAAGCATCAACAGACGAACCGTCCAACCGACAGAAAAATGAGAGAAATGAAGATGTAGCACAACCGAAAATTGACGACACTGGTAGGCTTTGTCAACGTCAACAAATATCTTCAATAAGCGCTTATTATGAAAAGCTGAAACGTCAGAACTCCAGACCTCTCAGTGCATACAAATCAACAGCTACACCACAGCTTCAACCATCTGCAGATCTCTCTTTACTCAAATCGTCTGAGTGCCCATCTGGTCTCGAAAGCACTCCTGTAAATTGTCGATTAGCTCATCAGTTGACAAGGGGATATACTGTTGCATCAAGTAAACCAGATTATACTGGTTCATCAATTGGTTCTTTTAAAGAAAGAACACAAATAAAAGAAAGTGATCCATCCATAATGAGTGTGGCTGAACGTGCAAAACAGTGGCTACTAGCACAGACAAGTGGTTGTCGGGAAACACAGCGTTATTCCACCTCTGGTTTCATTGATCAAGATTTAGTTGACTGTCAAGATTTGGTACCAGTTGAAGACAGAGTAAAAATGTTTGATACTGGTGCGTCTTCAAGTCAGCAGACTGAAAAAAGTCCAAAAGTGAAATCAGAACTTCAAGAACTTCGTGAAAAAAAGCAAGTGAAGTTCTTTGAAACTAATCCACATAAACCAGATTCCTCTTCTAAATCTGCAAACCCGATAAATAAATCAATTACTTCTGTAACTCTTCAGACGTCAAGATTCAATAATACAAATCCAAGAAGACCTCATTCTAGTGTAAACCTACTCAGAGTTAAACAAGAACCTGTACAAACGGGGATGGTCCAACCAGAAGTTAAAGCTCCTCATGCTGCACACTTTACTAACTCAGGTTTAAAAATTGCTCCTGTAAAAGGAGTACAACAATCAAATGGAGATGAACTAACTAGGTGAGCTACATAAAGTTTGGCTTTTTTTAAATCGATTTAAATTTCGAACTGAGAGAGGAAAATCCTTTTTTAATAAAGTTCCTAATTCAGCTAAACCGATAGAGCATGAAGTGAAAATACGAGAAAAGCTTGAAATGTATAAGTTTTTAATAACGGTTAACTGACGAAAAACTTCATCTTGAACATAGGTTTAAATTGAAATTCAATCATTTCATATCGAAATCTGTTGTTTTCAGATCTGAGCGCGGTTCAATCGCAACACTATTTATATGAATGAATAGCTACATAGAAGAATGTTTTAGTAAAGAAAAACTAATTACGTTTTTAAATGCTAAAAGAAGATGAGACTAGAAAACAGAAAACATTTCAAATGTATTGCTATTTAATAATAATAATAATAATAATAATAATAATAATAATAAATAATGACTTTATTCAATATCATACGTTTAGTACAATATGGAATTCTCAGCATGGAATATTTCAACATGTTCCCTTTACAAAACAATTAGTGACTGGCATTTGGAAGTAAGCAGTTCCGGAGTTGACATCTTATTGACGTTCATTCACTTCCTAGCAGATTGCCAGCCACTGCGGTGTTTCAGACTGTCCTTTTTGCAATCATGTGAAGTGATAGCTCGTAAATATTTTTACAAATGCATCTCAGCGTATTATGCGATTTAGAAATATAATTGGCGTGTTAAGACGAACAGAACGAGGTTACATGTTGAAATATTTTGATGTTAGAAAACAGATGGCCCTGATAAGTAAACAGTTCATCTCGTTATATGAATCAACTTATACGATAATAATGAAAAACAAATAGAAAATTCCAATATTCACATAAATACTCCATCATTGATAAGTCCCAAGCTAATTAACAACAGTTTGTAGAAGTTAGAATATACAACAAAAGTTTATGCACCATCATACAAAGGAGACAATGAAAGAGAAAATTAGCCAAATCTCTAATAAATAAACATTAAAATCCTGAACACTAATTCCGTTTGCCATGATCAAGTAAGTTAAAACTTCCCGCTATTCATTACGTTCTAACGCTAAGTTAGTTGTTTCTGCGATCTAATAAATTTATCTTGGCAAGTACTGAATGTCATTATTCATTTTAGCCACTGACAAGCGAATATAAATAGAGAAACTTTTGTTAATAAATACTTTCTACATCTTGTTGAAAAATAAAGAAAGATGAAGTATGTAGAGGTCATATTATCCTATCAACTGAAACAATATGATAGTTTGGGAGAAAAATTTTTTGTTCAAAAAATTAACTCATTTCATATACCATTTAGATGGAAAACATATTCTTTATAACTAATACCAAAGAATTTGGAAAAATAATTTTCCAATTATCTATTTCTGTTTGTAGAAGAGTAGGTTAATCTTGTTATCAATTTGGATTGGTTATTTTTAAAATAAACTACAAAATAGTCAATTGATACTGTGTATTAATCACGCCATATGATAGATACCTTAATATAGAATGATTGTTTACTGTTATGAAAAAAACAACTCAGCTTTATATCTGCTAAAAGTTTCATATTATTGTCAAATGTTCTTTAGTAGTTGGCGTTGAGAGATACTCTTCAATGTCATCTAATTTATATTACAATGAAATGTATCCTTTATGATTCACAAACTTATTTATTGATATCAAAACTGACTGACTTATAATAGCTGTTGTTGTTTGATTCTCAAAGATATTTAGCTTAAAGTACACTGTTACATTTTGTAGCAAAATTATATCACATATAATATTTACTTACTACAACCATGCTGATACTAAAATTTCTTCAGTTACACTCTGATCTGAAAAATTATGGAATATTTCATTTTCGCAAAGCAAGAAGGCTGCTTTTTCATCGATACACCTTTCAGAATGTTGCTTAAATTATTTTGTAAGATACATTTAATGTTTATTGATTTTTTTAAGAGCAATATCAATTATTAATCGATTGATTTGTGCAAAATATATTAGAGTGCTATTTTAATCTGTTACGCGACAATAGACAATGACTTTCTTCACTAAAACGACTTGAGTCTTGTTCTTGATAAGATAGAATAGCCATGACCGAAACAAAACAATTATAATTGAATTGATCTGGTCATATATATCCCTGTGGTTAAAAGCATAAGATATATTCAGTCAGTTATAATTTGTTCACTTCCCGTGACTGATTAAAAATTGGGGACCTTTATGAAAACTCTACATTTAGTTTTGCTCTAATGAAACAGAACAATCTTACACTGACTACCAATCATTAAAACATGCATATGATCAATCCGACTGCATAAAAGTTTTGTATCATGTTGAAAAATCTATTCATAAGTGTTCAACACCGATTTCATATTCAACAAGTATGTGGAAACAGAATCTTAAACACTTTTCAGACATGTGGTGAACAATCTTTGTAATTATTTAAATGTACTACAGGGCGAATTACTAGCAACATGTTTAAAGATCAGTGCATCAAATCAATAGATTCAATGAAGTTTTGAATGCCTGTCTACACTTAAATGACCCTGAGTACATGTTGTGTTACATCGTGAGTCAACTGAATTAGAAAACCTAAATGACTCAGATTTCGACTCTACTGCTCACAGGCATTTCTGTACGGGATACAACAAAATGTACTGGGTTTAATTATGTGTAAGTTAAAAGATATGCACATGTGAGATATTCTAAATAAGAACTAACAACCGTTTCATTATTGAACAGATTTACCAGTTTACCAGCTGATATTATTACCTAAATGAAAATTATCATCAACATTTACTAAATTTCTATCAAATCTATCTAAAATAAAAATGTATATTCCACTGATCTTGATAATTTGTGCTTTATTCACCTCATTTTATTCTTACCAAAATATCTTGGACCAGCATGAACTAATTAAAAGTTTGTTTTTAAACCTCGTTTGATTTTTTATTGGTTCGATTGATTTTTCTTTGAAGGTGTAAATGCAAAGAGTTATGATCATCATTGAAGACAATAGATTTTCCAAACAGAAACTGTTAGTTGAAAATTTCAGAAAGTTAAATAAATTATCATACAATCTAACATAATATTTCTTTAATTTTTAATTTCATACAATGAGTGATATTGCCAACGATAAAAGAAAAATCAAATGTTAAGTGTGAAATATAAATATGATTTTACTTTGTGATTATCAGAAACAAAATTACCACCTAAATCACCTTTATAAATGTGAGATTAACAAAAAGTATACTTTTTTATTCATTTAAAATAGGTTGCAAATACTAGATCAAAATAATGTTTGTTACACATAAAATAAATTCGAAAGATATCAAGACGTAATTAACTAAACTAAGGCGATTCCAATTGTGTCTATACATATCTTCATAAGTTAAGTCGAAAAATAGTTTGCTTCTGTCAGATTATTGTTAACAATCTCTTCAGTTATTTAGTGTTGTATTCGTTTTCTGATTGAATGATGAATACATACACATTTTTAATCTGAAACTCAGTATATTAATATTAGAACACACTTATTTTTATACAAACAGTAGATGTTTATATTCATAAACTAGGGGAATCTGATAAACAATGACAAAGAAAATTTTCGTAATTGGCTAAAGTACTAAATTAAGACCTGTCACATGGCGTTCATCTGGTGAGATTTTAAATCATAATACGAATTGTAGGAATCTACATCTAGCTTGAAGTTGATGATTTCAAATAAATTGAGCATTAGTTGGAAAGTTAATAATGATTTGCTTTAAAAAAGTGACTTGCATCAGGTCAAGAAACGTCAGAAATACAAATCACTACTCATTGGAATATCACAGAAACATTATAACTATTCTACAACAAGAGTTTGAAATGGGAAGAAGTTACAATAAATAACGGATCTTGTATAGTTCATATCTGTCTCTAGCTCTCGGCTCCGTTTGTTCCTTCGTCTACTACTTTTCCTTTGGCCGTGCAAGCTGGTTTATTATCTCTCATAGTAGGTTGTTACTGATGGTGTCTGTTCAGTGGATCCCAAGTACCTTGTCTAAACAACTATTATTAAACACTTGTATCTTCCGGATGATAGCTTTCACGGTTCTACATGCTTCCGAGCCATACAGTAGAACTGTCTTGACATATGTATTGAAAATTCTGGCTTCAGTGTGGGTCGACAGTTGTTTAGAGTCCCAGATGTTCTTCAATTGTAGACATGCTGCACGTGCTTTGCCGATCCTCGCCTTCACATCTGCATCGGATCCAACTTGCTCTTCAAAGATGCTGCCCAGTCATGAACAAGTTTCCACATGTTCCGAAGCTTCTCCGTCAAGTGTGATTTGGTTGTTGCATGTAGTGTTGTATCGGAGGATCTTGCTTTTTCTCTGTATCTTGAGACCTATTGGTGCAGAGGCTTCTCATACTTTGGCTGTCTTCTTCCGAATTTATTGTTGTATCCAAATTCACAATCGGATCATAATAGACCCTTCGCAAGAATTAGACATTTTCACTAGTCATCAGTATAATGTTACGAAGCTTCAGAATTCATTAAAAGACTCAGAGTAGCATCACAGAGGAGATAAGATGTCATAAGCTAATAATTCTCTGCCATTTAATGTCCATATTTTACGCTTTGATCTTTTATATTTCTTTTGTCAACATATTGGTATAAAATTGTTAAGTGAACGAAATATACTTTCACCCTGTTTAAGTCCTAACAATTCATTAGAAATCCCTAGGCTTAAGTAGTTTCATCTAGTCATTTATTGAGTTGTGTCTGATAGTTGCTGCTGTCTAAAAGTTCATCTGTAGTCTACCAGGAATAAATGAACTTACGAAACTTTCAACATGGAATTTAACAATCCTACAAGTAATTATGATCCACACAGCAATATTGGAAGAATGGTATACACGTTTTGTCCTAGTAAAGCTTCTTTCCATTAATAGTTTACTAAAATATGAAGATTTTTAATATTTTAGTCCTGTCGCGGTAGTAGTGAACAACTACTACAAAATTATGTATCAATGTTGATTATCGAACAACTGATATCTCATGCATTAAAACACTGACACCTGCACTTATTCATTTTGAAGTTAGATATTCCTACTTATTGTATATTCAACGTCTACGAATTTATGTAAATACTTCTACGATACTGTAGAACGTTCACAATAAATGCAATGTGAGCAAACAAAAGCTTTGTTGAGGGAAGCCTTGTGGACCATTTTATCATATTGAATATTTTACTGATTTTTGTGAACTTGTTTATAACAATTCACCTGATATTATTATGTGGCCTCTTAGTCAACTTGTCAATCTTGTATCTACCAGTGAGCAATCGATCACTGTGCTAACTATGCGTTTTTAGTTATATGAAAAAATTCAAAGCTGTTTAGATTATCACCAGTAATGTTTTTGTTTCTAAGTGTGACAGATTAATTTTGAAATCAACTTGCATATTTCACAAAGAATAAACTAATACTTATTTTTTTAAAATAGATAAGAGCACAAAACGTTTTTGACTGAAGATGTTTCATCTCATTTCAGTTAGATGACATTAGTTGTGGTAGATCGATTGATTTCTCAGTGTACAACTGGCAAATTAACTTACAATTTTCTTATCGGAATCAAACTTTATATTTCCTTATGTATTGTACATTGAATTTTGTTTTACTAAACTATGCCATTATGGCTACACGAATTCACACATGTACAAGGATGACCACAGAATATGCTTAATTTTTTCACTTATTTCATAATATTAATAAAAATAAGTAAATTCCTTAACATTGTAGAAATAGTAATGTTAGCCTAATATATGTACACAAAAGGGTTTTTTGGATACAAATGAAATTCTCTTGTGAAATGTATTTATTTCTGGTTCTAAAAAGTATATGAAAATGAAAGTACATTTTACTAGTAATGAACTTAACTAAAAATAACTATGAATAATAAAATGATTTATGTAGAAACTAATAAATTCACGTGTTATATGGATTAGTTACTTATAGTGCAACTGAACTTTTTTGAGAATATTTTTTTTCAAATTAACATTTTGAAATAATTCCTAACCTCTGTTATACAGAGTACCAGTAGCTTGCCTGTATGAATGAATTCCAAAATCTTCGGTATAGTTGTAGTTGTTTGTATTATTCAGTCTAAAAGGGTGAAAAGATACTTACTTTTGATTTTCGCATCTAACCTAATGATCCGAATGTGTATCATTCTTCAGTGATACAAGTGTTGTGAATAAAATGTGCTATGAAATAATAATACGGTATTTGTTATCTTGTTTGTCATCCTTTGTTTGTTTCCGAGATGGTAGAGAAAACTTGTAGCTCAGACGGATGATTGTGATGGAGTTTCTTTCTCTGAGCTGGATGTTTTGGTTGTGGAGCTCTCAATATTCTTCTGAACAATATCATCAGCACAAACGTCAGAGGCAGAAGTGAAGTATTTGAATTCCTCCACGTATGACTTGTAGCCTGTTCTGTTGACCTCGATCTTCAGTGGTTGTTACTGACCGTAAACCTGTCATTGTCTATACCTTCATTTGTTTCCATATTTTCCGGAAAAAATATTCCCACATTCATTACGACCTTACAAGAAATGTACATCAATTTCAATTTTAATCTAGTATCTGGCCTGAAGTTTGTTTCCCAAAAAGGTGGCTGCTAGTAGAAACGTTTTAATTTCCTGATATATGGAACTCAAAATAATTACTTCACTAGTACGTAGATCACTTGATCTGTTCATTTTTTTCACTTTCCAACTGAAGCAGTAAATAATCTAAAACTGATAGGTACAACTGAATTAAGTTCAGTAAAACAGTTAACAGTCTTGTAAACAATAGGATATTGTTTGAAATCAGTAAAACTGGCGAATTGATTAAAAAATCAGCGAGCATATTATAGAAACTGAGAAATTGCTTTAAATCTATTTAGCCTTATATGTTTATGTCAATCGATCGATTGAACGAACTTTACAAGTCCCTTAATCAGTTGTGACAAGTTTATTATAACTAATTTCTTCCAAAATCATTACCCGTGGTCTACATTGTCCAATGATTAAAAACCACTCTGTAAGTATGTGATTAGAATACCCATTGTCCTACCAAATCATTGTGGCTCTCTAGAAAATTCCAATCATTATTGTTTATAAATAATTGTATTTTTGCTTAGATCGAATACAGAACTGCACTTTATCAGTCTTTCTTGGCATATGTGATTCATTCACATTGACAGACAGTCTAACAGTAATATGCACACATTGATCAACCACGTTAATTACAAATTGCACAACAAATAAAACTATAAGTTTATTGATAGATTCCATTCAATTTATATTCATGTACACTAAGTAAATGAAAAATATTCCATTGATCTCTTTTCAGTTAATTATCACCGTATAATAATAACAATGTCTTGTATGGTAGAATATTTTGTCAAGAAATTATTATTATATATACAAAAATGTATTTTATATGATTTATGATTGTAATCTATTCTATTCTTAAACAAATATTCAAACAACATTCTTAGAAAACCTTATTGATTCTGATGAAAATTAAAATCACCATTTCTAGACAATGATTTCCAATAAATATTGATCAACTGAGTTTGATAATTTTGATGTGTCAACTAAAAGTTTCGTTTCACTTTCCGATCAATATACCATCTCACGGTGAATATTTAGAATGGTTGGATTTTTTTTCTTCTGAAATGTTTTGCTTTTTTTACATTCTTTATTTTAATACACACTACTAGACCAGTCAACTAACCAGTTAAATACATTTGTACATTTGTATAAAAGAAGATTGAAAAAAAATGTTCTTTACATTCCTATATATTGATTTCTTTGTTTGTATTCATAAATAAGTGGATAAACTAACTTGATTGTAATCGAGGAAATTCTCTTTCCTATCAACAATTTTCAATGAAGGAAATTAATCTAAATAATTCATTAGACTGTTTTTTGTTGGTTTCAGACAGTTCGATTTACACATATAAGACTAAGTTCGTGAGTGTTGGAGTTTTTAAAAATTTTCCCTCTTGTCAATCGTTTAATGTCGATTGTGTAGTGTATTGATATGTTGACTTCAACTAATAGATTTCGATCTAAATGAAAAAACAAACAAACAGTCAAACACTGAGTACAAATGTATCTCTTGGTGATCTGACCCATTCACTGTCACTGCAATTCATTTCATTTGCCTCATAAACTACACAAAATAATCTGAAAATGAATCATGGAAATATGCTTCATAATATAACTCTTATGCAATTCAATGTAGTAAATAGAGTACTGCAAAAAAAAAGAAAAAAGTATTTTAATTCACTTGATTCAGATAAAAAATGTTCATGATCATGTTTATGAAATGTTGTATTTAGGCTTGTGTGTTTATCTATCCATCTTTACACTCACCAATTACATGTTAATTTATGTGCTCACCACATACAAACAAACCAGTGAAAATGGAGACTTGATTTCAATGTAAACGAATTTCACTGATTTAAACTATTTGTGATTGAATAAAATGTAAATGTGCTGTTATGCATGCATGTTGAAATTGATTTTTTTTTGTTTCAAAATGTTAACAAACGGAAAAAAACAACAGTGTTGTCAATAAATTTTCAGTACTATTATTGTAATCACTATTGTTATTGCAGATTAAGTCTAAACGAGAAACGTAGTTTATTCAGTCAACGATTACAACAAGGACAGCATAGTTTAACGAATAAACCACTGAGTGCTTCAACTGAACCAAAACGTGCAATACGACGGAAAACTCAACCAATTACATTGGATGATTTAGCCAAAGCAAATCAAATTATTTTAGAAAGATATTATGGCAAACATCTTGGTAAGCAACATAATTATGATAGTAACAAAAATAATGTTAAAATTTTATCATTGTTCTTTATCATCCATTATGTAGTTAATATATTGTTAATCTGTTTAATTCTGGTAGCAAAACTGACATCAATTCAAGGAGTATTTAGTATGTATTATGTGGATAGTTTTAGAACTTCATGTGTTGTATATTAATTAATGTTTATTGAATCTAGATTAAAACGATCAGATTTTTATTCTTTTCGATCACTGAACAATAATATTGATTTTTAATGTTACTTTGTATAGAGATACTCGTTTATTGCTATCATTGTTGCTGTCTATTGCTCTAAAAATGTGTTTCATTTAAGTGAAATACCAACCAAACAAACACACACATCAATAAATATCATTTGCGTTATTCAACGAATCAAATGAAGTAGGAAATTTAAACTCATAACTAGCAACAACAACGTCTTGAGGTATTGTATCAGTGAATAATAAATAGAAATTTAGTTAGTTCATTCTAATGTAAGATTTTAGATGCATATTAGTGAAATCTTCGAAATTCTGTGGAAACTGTAATGAATACTACATGCAACGTGGGTTCTATTCAAATAAGTGACATCAACTGAATCATGAGTTATTAAATTGTGAAAATTAGAAATGTTTACTTTTCAGTCACTTAACTTCTCCATCAATTGTTTTTTATCTTTTGTTATTGTCTTATACATTTCTCATTGATTTCTCCTGTGAAGATGTTCAACTACACGAGTGAACTGTTTTGATAAGCTATATTACTTTCATATGAATATAGATATGGATAATTTCAAATATTAATTAAGCCAGTTCCACATAAATTAATGCGTCTATTCAAATTGATCGATAGGTGATTTTCAAATAATCATTCAATGTTCAAACAAATTTTCTCCATTCAACAAATATCAGCCAATCATAGACAACAAAACACTGGCCATTGACACGAACGGCTGAATTTGTACCAAATAACTTCAACTGACTAATCTGAAAATATGACTAAAGGAAGCAGACCTGGGTTTGTTTGTGTGCAATAGATCGATAGATGATTTCAATTCAAGGCGAGAACCGAACATAAGTTGTTATGACATTATTCAACTAATAAACCATATAATTTAAATCATAGAAAGATGACATATTTGCCATTGATGTTGATTGTTCAATAGTGTCTCTAGAACACGATATCATAGTGTCAAATTATGTGTTTAATTTCCCGATTACTCAACTAAGCATGTAACCCTTCACTAATTAATAGGTTGAGCATATTGCCCAATATCATTTTAATAATGATTTTGTGGGTTACACACTAAGGAAACAAAAATTTATTTTCAGATCAGAATGATATAACAGCTAGTTAGTATTTACCCTTCTACTTTATAAAGGTCTGTTTAAGAATGTCAAACATTCAATTGTTTGCAAATCGAATAATTTCAACACTATAAATTCAATATTTCATAATTCCGTGCAAAAAAAAATTAAATAACTCAATAATCTAGTCCTCATTGATATTATTTATTTCGGGACACAGTTTTGGACGTTTGCGTTTTTACACATTTGAAATCATCATCCCTATATCAGAGTTAGACATTAACACCGTTGGGTGACGGCCCAGTGGTCCGATGGCAAGGCGTTCGCCTACAATGCCAAAGGTCTCGGGTTCGAATCCTGCGAGGAGCAGGAGTCGTGGATGCGCACTGCTGATGAGTCCCATACCAGGACGAAACGGCCGTCCAGTGCTCTCAGGTTTCTAATGGTGGTCTAACAATGATTGATTGATGATTTCAAATTTGTAAAAAGATATTATTTATGCAAATATTTTAATGAATAAATAGTAACTCACATGGAATCTAACTACAAATATCATCAAGAAATTAAGATATTAAACTCATTTTCACGTTAAGTAGACAATTTCCATCTCTAACTAGAATCATTTGAATGATCAATGGTTCATACAGTGTTTATGTCTGTGGTTAAATGTGTCCAAGTATGATACAAAACATCAACAACACTGAGACTATACATATTTTTGGTTTGAGCATCTCATATACAAACTGAATATATGTGAATGAATTTGTTTATTATGATATTCAATTAATTTTATGTATTCAAATAACCTAAACACATAACTGTTTGCAATTACTAGACTATCTTAGTACTAGTTTGATTAAATGACTGAATACGCATAGATTGGTTAAAATTATTACTTCTTAATATGAACAGTAAGTTTTGCTAATATTATCCATTTGAACAGTATAGTTTTACATTTGTCGGCAAGCGAAAATAGTATGTTACTTGGACTATTAATGCACATGTTAATGATCTAATCTGACGCATTAGTTCCTTTGTTTCTGTCAACGCTCGTTGTTGAGTGTTTTAAATGTGCACGAAACCCAGATCTAGGCATCTTTACTGATTGCCTCTAAATATCTCTTATCTAAAAAATAGTCCTTGTATTGTCAAGTGTTATAGAATAATGTCTACATTGTGACGCCATCAATGGGTTGCAAGTAACAAACCACTATTTGTTATTTAATCAATGTAGTCAGTGGTTTACTTGTTTCCTGGTTTGAACATCAAGGACAATTTTTCTTTAAGTTTGAATGAAACCGAGAAGTAAATTTGTTCATAGAAGTTTTTCAAGTTTATATTTAACCTGTAAACTAGTTTGATATGAAACATATGATTTAATCGTAACACAACTTTAATTGACATATATTATCTGGTCCCCTAAACAGCTATCTGCTATTAATCAGAGTCAGATTTTTCTACTGATACATTCCATATGTTCATTTTTACAATTTATTTAACCTGCTCACATACAATTACCTTAATATTGATTGCTTGTTAAATAAAAATTTTCATAAATAGTAAAACAGCATCAAGGCTTGTATATGGGTTAAATTGATTTAGTCAAATCCACTTTAGTAATACAGAACTTGTGATTACTTTCAATAACTGCAATTGATGGACATACTAGGATAAATTCAGTGGATTCATAAAACAGCCAAGATGACTTGAATATTTGCTAATCATTTCATAATAAAATATTCGAAATGTTTGAAATTATTGTACATTAAAATGTTGTTCAATGAACCGAGGTTATAGAAACTACGACAATCTGTGGAAAGAAATGCATATGTCTTTCAATGTGCAATAAGTAGGCGAATCCGACATTTTCACGCATTTACCCATTGATTTAGTGGGTGAGTGCTGAATGTAAAAGTACAATTTTCACTATAGACATTTTCCTAAAACTCTGAATTTATTCACATATATCTACCGGAAGAAAATCTCACAAATGTCACAAAAAAAGTTGGTTTTGAAAACATGACATAAAGCATTCAGAGTCAAAGATTAATTTTATTAGAAATCTATACTGTTTCTGTGTGAGATCTTCATTATTCCCTCGTTTTAATAGAGTAACGGGGAATTCTAGTGACCAAGAACGGAAGACTTTGTAAACTAGTATAAAATGTGAATAACACATTATCCATGAGATTATTTTCACTATATTTATGTAATCGAATTGCTGTGCACAAAGTCCATTAATCACTTCATGTCGACGATCAATAAAACTACTATTATTGTCATCAATTAAAAACACAACTCGGATGAAATTATAAATTTTGTGATAATTGATTTATGTAATATTTGAAGTAACATAAAAGCTAGTAATTTAGAAAAATACTATCAATAAATAAACCGACATGAACAGTTAGAAGTATATATACATTCCTTTTGTTGCAGTGTAGCACGTTGTAACCTTCAAACAAATTTAATATACTTTAAATTTCACTTAATGACTAACATGAAATGCGACAAATGTAATAATTTCATGACTAAAAATCTTATATTTCATGAAAATGAATTCTGTATTAGAAATAAATTCTGTATTAAAAGTGAGTATATGTATGTTATGATTAGAAAAATAACAGGTGGATATGATAAATAAGCCAAAATATGAAACCTTAAACAATTTTTCTTCACCCATAGTATTCTGCTAATCACAATGTTGTGATGATAGTGAGTGTTTCATTGTATGAACTCTTATGTGTGAAATAAATGAGTTGAAGTTGCTGATAATGTTTCTTGTGATTTCCTAGATGATGTCGACTTGTGTGAAAAATTCCATTTCATTTCAATCTAGAATAAGTTGATATCCTAAATGATTGATTTTTCTACTCAATACTGTTCTATCATTCATCACATATGATATCTTCTTGAGGATAAATAACTAAAAAAAATAATGTTTTAAGTCAAAACTTTTGATAATGAAACACAGATAGTTTAGGATCAGCGAAATAAGTGATACTCTTCTAACTAGTAGAAACAATCAGGGGCTAGCAGTCGAATTCAGGGCCTGAATTTTATTCAATTTGGGTCCCGTCAGCTGAATTTCACAGCTAACGTTCACTCCGAGACCCGAAAGGGATGCCACTTGCTTCAAACACCACCGCGTTTCCCACTTAGCTACTGAGTCTATATATAGTTACTGTCTTGTATAACGAGGTGTAAATAATTTGATTTGTATTGGCTGTCTGGATCTTCGAATTGATACTTAGGACTGCAGCTTATCAGTCACTTCGGCATATGTGCATCCTGTGAGGATTACCTCGATAAAGCAAATGGATTACAAGCTAATGTTAGCCGCATTGCTCAAGTGACTGGTCATGTTGGCTTAACTGTGGCCGCTTATGGAATAATAACTCAGATACGTAATTACAGAACCAAATAAGTATTTATTGAAAAGAATATTTTCACTCACATATCAACGTTTTTAGTGATATTCATTGACTCGTATTGCTACTCTATTTGAACCTACTTATAAGTAGGTATATTTAATGTAGCCAAGATAATAGTGATTGGTTGCTGTTCGTTCGTTCATTAATAACACTAACATTACTCGTTGTGACCTCGGATGTTAAGTAGAATGCCTAATAATTCCGTTGGAAGTTTAATAGAAAGCGCGTTTTGCCCTCCGGTCATCGGTGGATTCTAGTGTTGTCGTCATTCATTCGCATACTATTTGCTGCTTCTTTTGAGGTTCTTCAGGAAACACCCTTCCACAGTGTGGGAAGCTGAGAAATAACATCCACCCTTACAACCCCAAAAGCATACGGGACCAAATCGATCAGGATTAAATCCTTTCTACACCTCCTAATAACTCTCTTATTTCCAAGACCAACCTTCTCACGTCCCTTTATTACCGTGCACCGCTAATTCAAACTATTCGTATTCATCAAACGTTATTTCTTATCTCCTGAAACACCATTCCGAACTGCATGTTAGAGATTCTAATGTACGGACATTGTGTCATATAGGGCAACAGACTTCATTATCTAGAACTCTAGAATCTCGCCCCACCGATGTGTACTGTGACTTCCAAAAGCGCATTGAAGACCCGAGTAGCGTCATTCTACTGTCGTAACCATGTCAAAATAAAGAAGCAACTCGATTTACTCATCGTGTATCTGAAAACCCGTCTACTGCTTCCCGGAGCCTCACTGGAGTAGGTATAGTACTGAGTCCTAGGATACAATTAGCTCTCTCGGAGTGTATCACAGTAGATAGTCGTTTGTGCGCTGTCCGACTAAACGTGACATTAAGGTCTCGGAAAGATGAGGACTCTCGCCGTTGCCTCTTCATCATATATGCCTACGCCCCCACTGACTGCAGCTGAAACGAGATTAAAGATGAGTTTTACAGAAACATTTCGGACCTCCTCTAAAATGTTAGGCACTCTGATATAGTGATAATGTCTGGTGACTTCAATGCTCAAGTAGGTAGACTGAGTGAAAATGAAAGACACCTAGGTGGATGTTGTGGTGTCGCGGCTTAGAGAACAGACAGTGGCGACCGTTTGCTGCAAGCATGCTCATTTAACCGCCTATTCTTAGCAAACACTAACTTTAGGCATAAGGAAAAGCACCTTTTGACCCGGCAACCTCTAAAGTCATCACAACGCTTGACCCAACTAGATCACATTGACAACAACCACCGATGGAGGGGTTCGATAGAGGACTGTCGCTCGTTCTGGGGCACATGTTTAGATTCAGATCATGCCCTAGTGCGAGGGCGTATTTGTTTGAGGCTCATTGGACGTAGGAAAGACACTGCGAGGAAACCTCTTAGGGTTCTAACTAACGATAGCATAGCTAACAATGTATTTCAGGAACAATTAGAAAAGCAGTTAGATGGCCACGTAATTGATTTTCATCCCGCGGCAGCTGGTAACGATATCTAAAAAGCAGTGGAAACAGCAGTGATTTCTACTAGTAATGCAAACCATAAGTTCATGAAGAAGCCGTGGATCTCAGGAGCGTCTGCCGAGCTGATAGATGCACGGAAACTCATCCAGTCTGGCTCTGGACATGACGAAGAGCTAAGTCAGCCTAGGAGCAGGCTGATAAAAAGCCTACACAATGATGGTAAACAGTGGTGGGTAGCGAAACAAAAAGAGATGAAAACCGCAGCAGTGACAGTTATTAGTAGATAACTGTCCCACCGTATCGTGGAGACCGGTATTAGAAATCCATCTGTTAGCAAATCGTTCACAGAAAGGGATGGTTGTATCATTCATTCTCAAACCAAAAGATTGGATCGATGAGCAGAACACTTCAGGTGTCATTTCGCCTGGACTTCAGCCACACTTCGGTTGCCCACGATCTCCAGTTAACCTGGAGCGGCATTTGACTCTGTGGATAGTGAGGTTCTGTGGCAGTGTCTGTCACTGAAATGTGTACCAACTAAGTGCATTAACCTTATACAAGATCTCTGTTTGAACACCACTGGTCGATTGAGAGCTTATGGTGAACTGTCATTGTAGTTGATTTCTTCAAATTGTGTTGTTAGGTAAAGGGTACTAGGTAGGGATGAAAAAGCAATTGATAAACCAGTGGAACTTCATCAGTTGAGGTGTTTAGGAAATATGCTACGATTGCGCAACCACCGACTTCCTCGACGAGCTATCTTTTGTGGTGTAGGAGTAGGTTGGAAGAAAGCTGGTGGCGGCCAAACCAAAACATGGCACAAGTCCATGAAGTCAGTGATAAGTGAACTGAGGTCATGTAGATAGATGTAGACTACGTGGTTGAGATTCGCGAGACGAAAGTAACCGGCGGTTGGAGATCTTGAAAGACATACCTCAAAATCGTTCGCCATGGTGTATGTGCATCAATTCTTCGCGTTCTCTCAAATCCTAATTCTCTGAATTATTCCACATTTTTATTTTACCGATTATTCATATGAACTACTACGTTGATTCGTTTTGTTAATTCAATATTTAGTAACGTAGACCATTCTTCTTTGTGAATTTCCAACTTATTATTTTGGTTTGGTGGTTTACTGTCCCTATTACCACAAACATATTAGGACAAAAGAAAAATATAACTTTCAAGTGGAAACAATTATTTGATATCTGTGACTGTTGTGTTCAAATCACTCAATATTTTTAACTATTTCTTTATGTTACTTACTATTTACCAGTAGTATATGTAGGTTTGTATGAAATCTTAGAAGAGAATCAAGTTTACGCAATCCATTACAACGTACCTATTTCTCCACTGTTCGTCAAGATAACACTTAAGAATAATGCGGATGTAACGCCGTTTGATTTTTTAGAAAGCATTTCGTTCCTACTGACGAAAATCAATTTGCGTTTTACATTCACATCGTTTTCACCTTCTAATTTTAGAATCACCCTTCGGCAGTGTAAAAGGAGATGAACAAGATTCATTTGGCTTCCATGAGTATGATTCACAAATATCAACTCCGGAAGCTAGTTTATTAAGTAAGTTTTCATTCTGCTTATTTGTCATAATTGAACATTCCTTCAGATAAATATAACCGAAGTTCGTCATAAATTGAATAAACTTGAAAAAAATATTATTAAAACCCTCCAACTATTTCTCATTGCATGTGTCTATGAAGAATCATCTGCGTGCTTGTGGCTGTAGAACGAAATAATGGTTGTCGATTTTTGTGGTTAAATGTTCGCAAAAATGGAAGATAGACATAATAAACCGAATCCGTCATCTGTAATTTGTTTGCATCGATCGAAATATTTCTACACTAATTTCAGTATGACAACAGATGAGTCAGAATATGACTATAATAATAGCTATAGTAATTCATCCGCTGATCGAAATCACAATAATATCGATCAGTACGAAAGACGAAGAAGTTATACGGAAGCAATGGTCAAGTCAAACAATGAGATCCCTGGAAAACCAAAACAGGATGAACATTATACTAGATTGAAAAAATCATCTAAATCATTCTGTTCATACCCTAGTAATGATGAATATGAACTCTATACATCGGACAAGAACTTTCAAAACAATTCTAAAAATGAATATTTAAAGAAAGTCTATCGAAGTAGTAGTTGTAATAATAACAATACCGATGATAATTCTGGACCATTTACAATGGAAATGAACAAAGAAATATCAGAAAACAAATCTTCTAAAATAAATCATCATGTAAACTTATTGAATAGAAACTCGGAAGAGCGAAATCAGCAACAAATCATAACTACTAATAATAATGGTTATAAAAACAGGTAAATAAAATAAAAGCTGTTCCGTAATCATGTTTAGGAAACATCATATCTTCGCTTCTATGCAAAGAAAATCAGTTGATTAGTCGACTAAGGCAATGTAATTATCTTGTAAATGCCATTCACTAATGAAATGTATGATGTACTAACCTATTGAGAACAAAAGCTGATTACTTACTTACACCTCTTACACTTAACATAGCATAGGCCGCTGACCAGTATTCTCCATTCTAATCTGTCCTGCGCTTCTCATTGCATTTTTGTCCAATTTCTGTCCATTCTTCTCATGTCTGCTTCAACTATTCAGTGTAGTGTTCCTTGGCCTTCCTCTTTTCTTTGATCTTGAAGGTTCCATATGATGACTTGTCTTGTAACTGAGTTGGGTACTTTTCGCAGTATGTGTCCTATCCACTTCCAGAACTTCTTCCTGATTTCATCCTCAACTGGAATCTGGTTTGTTCTCTCCCACAGTAGATTGTTGCTGATGGTATCTGGCCAATAGATTCTAAGTATTTCAATAAATACTTGTATCTCATGGAGAATATCTTTCGTAGTTCTCTAAGTTTCCGCCCCATGTATTGACATCTATATTCTGACTTTGGTGTTTGGTGACAGTTATTTTGATTTCTAAGTGTCGTTCAATTGTAAAAATGTAGCTCTTGCTTTGCCGATCCGCGCCCTCACATCTACATTAGATCCACCATAGTCGTCAGTGATGCTGCCAAGATATGAACGGTTTTTAACGTCCTCCAAGGCATCTCCATCAAGAGTGATATGGTTGGCGCATGTTGTGTTGTATCGTAGAATCTTACTTTTCTCTTTATGTATGTTGAGACCTACTGCAGCAGAGGCTGCTGCTACACTGGTCGTCTTCCTAAGCTCAGAATTGCACGAATAACTGTTAGCTGTACTTCTTCCAAAATATTCCAGACACTTTTAAAACAAGAACTTGCATATTTTAAATCACAGATAGTGTGTAGATTGATAATCTATTCACATTTAACAAATATCAGTAGTCGGTAATCTAAAGTATTTGAATTGTTAATTATTTATTCTAATAGTTAGTTAAGTGACATTCCAGGTTTTTTGAAGTCAACTGGTTTCTTTTAGTTTCTTTCTCTTGTACGTCGACACATGAAATAGAAGGATCTTGAGATATTTAGGCATATCAGCAAGATGGTGAATAATGCCTAGTAACTTTAAGTCTGTAAGCTACAGCAAAGTTTCAGGAGAATGAGTGCATTTCAAAAGCTAACTGATCATGATCTTATTAGATACATATATGACAAAAGAAGACTAAAAGATGATAACTCAGTTCCAATCAATTCTGGGTATCTATTAACCTTTACATTAAAAGTCTCTTTGTGACTGGGTTAACAAAACAATGAAAACTAGAGATTTCGTATTTACCCTGTGGCTTAGTGAATAGTTTGTTGAGCGTCTGATATACACTTTTCGATGCAAACATCAATGCTGGGATGCAGGTACATCAATCTAATGACTTCGAAATAGGATTTCAAATTTCACCCCTAGACTCTACTCATCAAAACAACTCATATCTCTATTACTGATGACAATCGGCTGTCTAAGAATAAAGAACAATGTGAAACACTTGTACACTATACTGTATTTGTAGAAAAACATTTTGATTTGTAGGCATTTACATGTGACACATCCAAGCGAATATGACCTGACAGACGTCGCTAATGTTAATAGTACTATTCGAAGTATTGATTTACAGTCATAGAGTAAGATCATATGTGATAAATGTATTCCAAAACACGACTAAAATCTATGACTTGGTAGATAGTCTTACATTTTCAGTTCTGAGGTTCCAGTATAATATATATTCAAAATAATGATTGGATATCTCCCTGAATTTCAATGGACTAAAATAGCTTATGTTCATATTATAAAGTAAGTGAACTGTACTACATATGTGACTCTTACTAAATTTGATCAATTAATTAAATATAATGTTTAGTCGTTATTTGTACGACCTCTAGAGATCTATCATGATTTATTCAACTATAAAGTCACATCATGTGACACATATTCGCGAACGTTCAGTAGCTATAATGACTGTCCGGTTTGAACACAAGTTGTATCATAACATTCAATTTTCTTTATTCGTTAGTGTGCTTAACTTGTGTGTTTTGAATTATCTCTATGAGAGATTCGCTTAAAATTGTCTGCACAATATCTACACTTGCATATGGTTGGCTGATATGAAGGCCATTTGAAAATAAATCACTTTTTACGTTACAGATTAACTACACACCAATCAGATGTTTATTTTTTCAAATGAACATGAACTTGATTAATTTTTACTTTTATTCACCAACGAAATGACTTCTTAAAATTTTCTAATTAATTTCATTTAGGCCCGTAAATTCATTGGAAGAAAATGGTTCACCAGAGGGTAGTCAAGTAAAAATTCAAAATAAATCACTTTCCGGGAAACTACCTAGGACAATCCACTATTCCTTTAATTCACACATCAGTAATAAACAAGAAGAAAGTAATACACTCAATAATAAATACAGTAATAAAGACACTATTCAAACAGAAAACAACGACCAAGACCCACAGATGTCCATTAGAGAAAGGTATGGATAACTTTTTCAAAACTTTATTGTGCTATAAAATTTTGCATTTTCGACAAAGACATATACTTTACTATCAGATGTTTTGTTGTCTTCTAAATGCATAAGTAAAATTTAATTACTGTCTCGTGTGATTCACACTGCTTACCGAATTCGATGTAGGTAAGTAGTCAATTATTGTAAGAGTTGGTACTTTTTGGTTTATGATAGATTTTTCGGAATAAATATGTTTGTGAAGTGTTTAATGTGAAGTGAGTTTGTCATCCCTCATTTATATCAGATGGAGGAACAAGTGGAAGCCAGCATGCATCATACACTATTTTACTCTCAATCTGTCAATACATAACACTGAGAACTCAGATTTTGACTTCATTTTAGAAATTAAATATGAGCTAACACTGACGAGTTTTATGCTCAAGATTCTTTTTGTGTGCATTGGAGTCGGCATCTTTGATAATAATCATTGTTTGGTTTCATCTAAGTTTGGAACAATTTACAATTTATTTGTACAAATTCTTGGAAGTCTAGCAATTAACTTGAATAGCACTGAATGAATACTGACATAATGATTTACTTGATGGAGGCCAAACAATAACAAACTAGTTCACTCACTTATCAAGTACCATGCAAAACAATGAGTTTCTTCCTCTCAGTTTGTTAAAAATTAGTTGGACGTATAGCTCAATTCAATTTGAAAATCAGTGAAACATTTGTCTCATTACTCCTAGGACTCAAAAATTGTTTACTTCATTTAAATGAGGCAGAACGTCATTAGCTTTGGAACGGAACGTTACCTACAATTTGTCATCAAAATTTGAACTTAGAATTCCTTATTATGATCGAAAGGTTTTCAGCATTATGGTAGAAATTGATTTAGTCGTACATATTTGCGGATGGTTGTACTTCAAGAAAGCAAGCTAAACGAATGTTCACTTCTAGATGCCAATCAAATTAACAATCAATTCATTTGCAAGCTAATCCTGGATACAATCGAAAATATCTCATATTTTCAAATTGTATCAAACATTTTCAATGAAAGTTGCATATTCTCTTTGTATGTATATAACATATTCATTATTCACCTATTTCACTCTTTTCAGTGAACGTTTTGGCATAGCCATGAATTCGTTCATTTAATTATTCAAAATTTATGATCATATATTATTCAAATGAAACATTTCAATAAATATGTTGGCTATGTGTTTCACAGTCGTATTGAACTAGGCATTATGGTGCTGTTCCATTTATCAAATAACTGATAAATTGTATAAACTTAGCTTTCGGCATTGACCTTAAAAGAAAGATTGTATCGTTTTGAAATATCAGTAGACACAACGTAGAGTTTCCTAATACATTTTGATACATTATGATTTTGTATAAAAACATTGATCATATCTTTACTACCATACTGATAATGATAATTATTTTTCTCAATCTTTCTATGTAATTCTTCCAAATTCTTCAACAGAATTGCTTGTATTCGACAGAGTAGTTTAAATTGGAGAGGACGTGTTGAAAAAGAAGAACCAAATACGGACAGATCATGTGATATTAACAAAATTCGATCGTCATTAGTTCAGAATCAAGAATCTTGGAAACAACGTGTTCAATGCAAACCTGACAATGATTATGCAGTATCTGAACGAAATAGACGAAGTAAGTGTGTACAATGAACTGTGATTTGTTTTATCCTGTGTTCAAATTTTACTTTTGAAAAGATTAAATTAAAGACACCTACCTAATACATAAAATGTATGAAACAAACAAAACCATGCATTTAAGTTAATTCAGTTAGCGATATGTTAGAATTCTGTAATACTATACTTCCGGTCTTATGAATCATGGAAAGAACGTAACGCTGATTAGCTGAACTCAAGAAAACTAAATGAAATTGATAATTATTGACACCAACGTAAACTTGAAATAATTAAAATAGCTATATCATGATATGAATTAATTTTATTCAGTCTGACAGTGATCCTAAACTTCAGATGACAGTTCAGCAACTAGATATGTAGTACACTGTACTTTCAGCTATACAAAGTTCTCCACTTTATACCGACAAAGTGTGAATTAAGAGAAATACTTTTTAGTGACTAACTACTGTCATGCTGAATGAGTCTTTCATCTCAGTCCTACAACAGATTATTTATGACCTGAACAATTTGTGAATAAATGCTTCGATTATTAGGCCAGATAAATCCAACAGGAATTTCTCTGCAATTTCTGGATATTCTCAGTTGTTGAGGGGTCCGAACAACTAGAAAACAAAGTTATGAAACTTTCAACCAGATATCACTGAACCAAGGGATTATTACAAGGTGATGCTTGACAGTAGGAGATAATAATCTCTGCTATCTATTACTCGTCAACAAGGTAACCCTGTGATTTACAAGGGAAATGATGTTCGATGGAGTATTCGACCTCCGGTTATTCAGTTTAACAGTTATAGAAGTCACTCCAGGCCGTGACTAACTGCCCTTATGATTGAGATATAATGAGAAATGATTGGTTACTGGGTTGTGACATCGTCGGTAACATCTCCAAATCTGAAGCCAAGTGATACGCGATAGAATGCACCAGGTAGCATCAGCTTCTTTAAGATTACAGCTAGAATTCACTGACTAGTGCTAAGCAGCACAAAAACCTTAATCCAGTTTCTCCTGTCAAATACCTCCGACCATCGACTAGTATCTTAACGACTCGTGGTCCTATTGCCACTTGATAGATAGATTTCGATCAACAATAAATAGAACTTTGGTCACTACTCAGAGATCAATCAACTGTAAAGAAATAATTACTTTCAAGAAAATGTATCCACCGAAACGACCAATGTGGTCTATGAACATATGCTTTAAATAAACATAGGATTGGCAAGATACTTTGAACTCAGTCGCTGTTCAACTTCTATAAGATCATTTCCATGTTTAAAAATATTCAACGTTTTTTCAAAGCGATTTAAATGATTTAAGTGAGCGTGTCTTACACGTGGTCCAGAAGGAAGTGACTAAGCATTTCGCTAAAAGAATATTTCTTTCATTCTCACGTCATTAATGCATTGCAATTCACGAGTTACCTGGCCTTGATTAATAAGGATTCATGCACTACCTTGTGAAGAATATTTCGGCTGTGCATGTCAAAACTTGTTGTGCTTCATTCCTATTAAATTTACTGTGGATATGATTAATTTTGAAATTTACTTGAGACAATGAATAAGTAGTTTACATTCAGAATGAATGATTGATTCTATAACTACGTACAGAAGATGCAATTATCGATTGATTGGTTGTCAATAAAATATGTAATTAGTATCATGAATATCTGAAATTAGGAGTGAAAATATGCACGTGTCATTATGACTGTATGACATTCTTAGTTTTGTTTATTATTCCATTTTTAGATAGTTGACTTCAAATCTATTTCGTTGAAACTCAATTTCACTCACATAACGAATAAAATATTCACTGGCTTTTGTTAAAATTACGATTGGTGACAAAAAATTTGAAACGTATTCGACTGACGTCCCTTTAAAATTATGGTCTATGATAATGAAGTCAAACATTCAAGTTAACTGTAGTTTAAACAGGGTTCCATTCATCTTTCAAACGAACTAATAACTGAATTATTTTAAAACTACTATCCTTATTTAGTTGACTTTTAGATAACATTTTTAAGATAAATTCCAATCAAATTGAAACAACAGTCAATTTGAATATCAAGCTTATGAATGTACCAACTTTCTACTTTAATATAAGTCAACACATTGAAGCTCCGAAAAAATCATCTGAATTGGTTGCCATTTGGACAAGTACATTTATGTGATTTTTTAGGTAACCATGAAAAGTTTGTTTTGGTTCTAAACACGACATCACACTTTTCACATTATAAGATACTTTAGAAAGCATTAAGAAATTTTCCCGACACCATGGTTTGTTTCTAGCCACATATATACTTATTCAACATTTCTAGTTGAATTAGATCAAAAACTAAACAGGATGATAATTATACTTGATTACATAACATAGCATTATTAAAGTAGTCCATTGGTTGAATAGTGTATTAAGTTCTGTTTCATGTTTTTGCTTTTATAACTACATTTATTTAGGTAAATAGTATTCAAGAAGCATCTAGTTATTTGTTAATAGTGAAGAAAGAAACTACATGATAGATTATTGACTAGAAATTAGTTATTAACACTAGATGTTTTGAGTTATTTGATATTTTTCTGAAGAAAGATTGTCACAACTTTATTAGCGCATGTTCACCTCAAACAAGCGGAAGCGACTAAGAATGGTTGCTTGAAAATACCAGCGTACATCTATTTGCGTAATCGATTTGAAAATTTAGCCTATTCATGGCGATGTTATCCCTAATGTGTATGAGACGTAATGGAACTCCGTTGGGAAATGATGGACGTACATGACAGATCACTCAAAATGATTCAGTTTCATCTACAATATGACTGCTATCAACCCGATGTGCTAATTCGCCCTTCATTAACCATACTGGGAGATGTTCACCCATTCGTTGCATTTGTAAGTGAATACAGAGGTGGCCAACTCAGGTAACTTATCCTTCGTTAGGGTAGACATCGCTGCCTTCATACTATCAATTTTTAGTGACGCAATATATTTCATTTCATAGTGATTGGTGACTCAAATTGCTTTGATTGGTTGAACATTTTCAAATAAATATTCACGTATATTAGAGTAGTCCAATGACGATCTCAATGCAGAAAATACTGTTCGCTTACATGTGTTGTTCTAATCTAGATTGAAAATATTAGTGTACATCTGATTAAGTAATCAATTTAAAAATGTAGCCTTTTTTTCTTAGCAATTTTATTCTAATTTGTCTCGGATAGATTTCCAATATTTTTGGTACCATTGCATTAATTTCTCACTGTGTTCAAATCTATTCCAATAATTTGTAACGCGATTTAACTGTTTCCTAATAAACTGCTAAATATTTATTACATCATCAAAAAGAAAACTGTCTTTTTGAATGGTTTGTTTTTAATTACATTATCCATTATCAATGTTAACTTCTTTGAAGTGATAATTATAGGCACCTTGGTTATTGCTTAAAATTACTGTCGAATTTACGCTGTATGAAATGATATTTTAATTATATAATTAAACATTCAGTATAAAATAGCATTTTATAATCTACTGCATTCTGTATTTCGAGTCTTTTTTATAAGTTTTTTTTTGAATTATATAACTTGTGGATCGAATGATTTAAAACACGTATATTTTATTATCGATTATTAATTGCATTTATTTAAAGAATTCTTTTTGTTAATTAGTTTAAGGATTATATGTCAATAACATGAAATGTTTTTGTTAACTTTTCTACATCTGAATGGAATTATTTTCTCCTATAACCTAAATATACATCATGTTACCAGGATACTCAATATTCTACAAGCATCCTGTGAATAAATGTAAACTAATGGAAAGCCGTAGCTTAAATGCTTTCTATCTATTTAGTTTAATCAACTAACTCAGACAAATTCACTCTTAAAAATGTTTGACCAGATTAATGTATTTTATTTTTTTCCATTTTTATAGAAAATAGTCGTACTAGTCCAGAATCTTTTCCACCGAACTGTCTTGATTCTCAATACTTAACACCAATCACACCCAAATGTTTACCAGCTGAACCGATAATACGCGATAACAGCAAAGAGAATCGTTCAGGTAAATGCGATTTTCATTTATTGATCGAATAATTTAAAGTAGTTAATGAATAAAATCGATGTAGTAAAGCTGTTAGTTCGAATTAAGACACAACATATTCTAACAACAATTTGATGTGATCAAAAACTGAAGTTTGACATTTTTGAATGATGGTGTTTATAATTCACTTAGTTCACAGTTTATTAAGGAGAGAAAGACAAGCCAGATTTCTGTGTTAGTTTCATTACCAGGTAATGATTTTTGTTTTTCATACTCATTTGTAAGTAGTCAGTAATGCCGTTTAAGTGAATAATTTAATATGCTATAATTGAGAAGAGAGATTTACCAGTCGTTTATTCTATGAGCATTATCAATTAATTGCAAATAAAATGAGCTTCTTCCGTTAGTTGGTTATTTATACAAAAACTGGGCTTGTGTAAATCCTTAAAGTACAACGGAAGTAATTTATTACATTGTAACGACAAACGTGAATGACTTAAAATGATATATAAGGACATCATTTTTAATTAGGAAATTTAATTACTCCTAGCGGTTGAAGTTGAACTCAGTGAAGTTGTGACAATCCTGATAAATAAAAATAACTTTTTCTTTATAGCTAATAATAATATTATTATTTTGCTAGCGAAACTTTCTTGTTAATAGATGAAAGATTGACATAAACAACAAATTCGGATCCATCTGATTTGCCACACTCTCAATCACCGCATAGAAAGGTAAAAGAAACATGACCAAGAAAACAAGGGAGTAATAGCGATAACAATATTACATCAAGAAAAGTGAAATGATAAATGTGGTTCACCATCATGTGATTTGTAGTGTCTAGTAGTCTGTCACACCTACATGAGTAATTCCAGCTTTCGAACAGATCGATTAATTTGTTCTTCTTGAATCGCATTTTAACTTAGCCATTTACTCGTTTACAACCTTGACTACTTTTATATCAGTATATGTGTTAGTATCGCTTACTCTATTAATTTGTGAATATGGAAGTGCTTTAAACAGTATTTCCTGCTCAAAGTTTGCTTAACAAGGAGATTTTCATGGGATGGTATCTTTAACCCCGAACCAAACACTCTCCCTTTACTCGAGCTTGAAACCGACTGCAGATCTGGAGGAGCGCTAGGAGGAGTTGAACATAGAATAAAAGTGACTATGCTTAATGCCACACTTCAGTAACAAATGTAGTTAATAACGATATCTCGAATATAGTTTAAGACTAGCTACCAATTAGATATTGATTACACTCTCAATCGAAACTAACATAGTGCATCTGACTGCTAAGCGACGTTTTACTTAAAGTTCATTGTTCAATAATGATGATGAGGAGAAGTAGGAATGTGCTCGTTTGCTTTATTCTAGTAACTAAATCTTTGAAGAAAGATTAACGCTAATCTTGATTAGAACGTGAACGTAATATTGATTCTTGAATGTCGGATTTTACTGATTATTTTCGGTCATCAATTATTCCTTGAAGATATTGCCTAATCAGAAAAATGTATTTCTAAGTTTTCATGCTTACAAAAATTGACGAAATGGTTTATGATTACAAATCAACTTATCTAAATTTCTCTGAAATCTAACTGAATTCCGAAACCGTAAAGTTAAACTGATAAATTAAGTAACAATATAACCGTACGAGTCGGAGTTCATGATGTCTGACCTAAATAAGTCTACATTATACTAAATACAGTTAACGCCCATTACACACATTGTCTTGTTTCCCGATAGTGTCCTTCATTCAATCATCACCAGAACATTTTTGACTTATAAAGAATACCACCTGAATAGCTCCATGATAAAGTCTTCATTTTTGACACTGAGTAATAATTCTCTGAATTTGATAGACAGCATCAATTCCATTCGGATTACTGAAACACGTATCAGTTAATATAAAATGTAAATTGCGTGTTTCTTACTAGTTGAGTTCATTCATCTAACATAGGCAAACATCATACTGGATATTACAAGAATAGCCTATTTTCAGTTTCCTTATCTGTAATTTAGAAATAGTTGAATTAAATTCATTGAATGTTCCTAAACTGTATACTGAAAATCAGATAAGACAGAATAATAGGTCTATCTCATACAGTGATATATTTTTAATCTTATTGTTACATAAATTTTCCTTCAGTGAATTACATGTTTAAAAGTTGAATTCTTCTAATGAATAATATGGTGTCTTTTTGTTTGTAAATATTATCAATTATATCTGAATTTACATAGATTTACATAATTTTCTCTTTTTTTTCCAAGAACCATTAACCAGAACCACTTCTACCTATAAGCCTACAACCACAACGAAGTCCAGCCCACTTGTTAAGCAGGTGAGATTTTATCTTGTTTTTGCGATTTCATTTTTAAAATTATTTGTGTTTACTACTCAAGAACTTGATGAGTTAAATAGTCAACTTGAAATCTTCAGACAGAAATTTTTATTTTCAATTATCACGTACTATTTTTGATGTTTACTCATAGTTCAAACTATGACTATACCGAACAGTGTTCATTCGTCAAACTTTCTCTGTGAATTTATAAAGTCAAAACCATAACAAACTGAAGCTGAACACAAATTAAACTCATAGGAATTTATGTTCTTATCTGTTTTGTTGTATGACTGTACTATATTTTAAGCATTCGGTTTTTTTTGTTGCTTTTTAAGACAACTCACGTTTCAAAAAATGTACTCGTACCTACTATAGAAGATAAAGCATTAACAGATTTCTTCACAAGTAACCTGGTGCCAGAGCCAAACAGTCCTACTGAATCAGTTAAACTTCCAACTTTGTCCTCCCAAACAAATAAAGATTTGAATACCATGTATGAAAGGTAAGAGACTGTAGTCTACAATAAAAGTATGAATATTATTTCATTTTTACACTTAAGATTGACAACAAGTTGTTGTTGTTGTTAAACTTTTCTGTTTTCCATCTTTTGTTGTAATTTGTGATGGCCCAATTTGTTTAGAACGATCATTAGTTTCAGTGATTTGATTTAGTGTATTCAATAAAGCGATAACATCAAGGACTAAAAATCAACAGATAAATGCTAAGTTGTGCAGTGTAGATAGTTTGACATTTTCATGGCTATTGACACAAATCAAACGATTGATTGGTTGTATATTTTGACCAGTATCAAATGAAGAAGGGATTTAAGTTTATTTTACTAATCCTCAGTATTCAAGAATCCATCAGGTTCGATTATTTGTCAGACTTTGTCAGTCAAATGTGATTATGGAAACGATAAATATATAGACAACAATCGTAAATCTCTAAAACGAATAATTAAATATTTGGGAAAAGTGGGTTAGTTATTTACAACTGAAACATATAGCGAAGTTTCAACGCAGTGATTACTCATGTTCATTTATATTTTTAAAGGATAGCTGATGCTAGACGTGCTGCCAGACCAGAAAAACGTAAACCACCACAAGACCTAAAAAATCCTTTAAAGGCTTTAGAAGAAAGAAAAAATGTAAAATCCAACTATGAAGAAATTCGGACACACACAGAGTTGGTTGCAGCAGATCAAGTGTCTACTAAAAATACTACACCTTTTCAACCATTATTACGTACAGTGGATCCATCTGACAGAATCGGACTAGGTAAATTATTCTTTACAGAAGAGTAAATGCATTATTTATTGGTATTCCCAGTAAAATATAATTATGTGATGAAAAATTACAACTACTGACCAATTATAGCATATTCTGAGATCCAGTACCAGTATTAAAACCTAAGTATGAAGCAGATTGTCGTATTGTTTTTGAATTCAGTAGTTTGTTTTCTAAAGTTTTACTAAAGCCATACCCAAATCTAAATCCAATTACTTTGAATCAAAGAAAATACGCTTTTCATTACTTCCAGTTTAAACCACGTCATTTAGTCAGTCAGTCAGTCAGTCAGTGACAACGCAGAACTTCGTATATACGTACATCAGTTCAGTTCAGTTTAAACCAGGAGTTTATATTAACTTTTTGTAGATATGTTCAAGGGTAATTTCTTACTGTTAGTTTTTGGTTAGATTTTAAGTGATCCAGGAATATTTGTTCTGTAAAGTTAGTAATATATTCAAAATATTATCCATTCATCTTAACACTGATATTTTAAAAGCCAGAGATAAACAATCACTCCAGGCAACAAAAAAACAATACTTGTTTTTCATCAGATAAATAACTTTGTAACAAAAAATACTACTTCGTTTCTAAAAGAATCTAATTCAGTTTTTTTCTGTACCCCATAAATCATACTTAAAAATTGTCCTGACAAATCAAGAATAAGTAATACAGCGTGATAACACTGTGATATCGATGTTCAGATGTGTCTTGTGAACAAAATATCTGATAGAAAGTTTGGTGCAGTGCAAAAATATTCTGATGTTTATGGTAGATCATAAACGATGAAATATGCTAATTCATCTGATATTCCGTCAGTTTAGTTTCTTACTGTATTGATAGGGAATACGATCAACTTTTCCAGTTTAGTTAAATAAACCGAATTATCGACTATTGAATTGGTTCAGGCAGCTTGTATATATATATATAAATCAAGAATCAGTTAGAAAAATAAATGAAGTGTTTAAATGAACTATTATTAATGTTACCACAGTCTGTCATTAATTTCTTATAGATTGTAAATACAATTAATAATTTTATGTAATTTGATCACTTACTTGAAAAAGTCGAATCAGTCTTTGCCGGTAAAATCCAACTGTAGAAACATATTACTACTGTAAATATTAAAAACTATCATCAGATCTATAGGACTTTTATATAAAAGTGAAGTGGTTAATTGAAACAGTTTACTTTTCCTAACCAACTACTCATAACACAGAAATTTTGAAGATTTTTAATATTCTTTTAACTAGTCGAGAAAACACCAAAAGACAGTTGATAATTTACTCATTCATATAACATCCGTTTGAGAGGCTTAACTTACAATTGAAAGTTACTTTTAAATGACAGACGGTCAATATGTATTTTTATTTTGCTCTTAAAAGACTAAGAGTGAAACCCTTTTCTCTTGGATTATCGCTACTATTCAGTTCATCAATGTTGTGATAATTTTTATATTACTTGTCAGGATTCAACTAGAAACTAGTGACATTTACTTATTGAAAATTTATTTACCTCAATTTACTTCTATGTTTTACGGATTTTCAGATTTTGCTGCAAAAAACACAATTCTCGCTGATTCAGCTAAGGCTGGTCTAACAAGCTCTGAAGATATAAACGAGGCTAAAAGTAATTTACGTTCAGTTCAAGAAGGACAATCTCTTCGTACCTCTTCAGTCCAGAGACAAATTCTACCCTATAAATCAATCATGTTTTTACATATAAAAGGTTAATTTACATTATCAATGATTGAAGTAAATTGTGGAGAGATAAACTTTTCGATTTGCAGGTTATATAAAATAGATCTTACGCCTTGCTCAATAGTTTTGTAACTGTAATTCAATAAAAGTGTTATTGGAATGGTTAAAAAGAAAAATTCCAACATAGTAACTTAACGGTTTGTCACAATACATTTACACTTAGGTCATTTGAACTTTGATTAACCTAGTCTCGCAACGAATCGGAATTCCCCCAAGAACATGATTTCTAAATGTTACATGTAGTTTATAAATCAATAGGGAAACATGTGAAAGACCCACTACATCTGCAATATAAAATGTTCGTATGTAATTACAGATGAAATAACAGATTTTTCCTTTTCACACTTAATTTATAATCGTTTAAATTTGCCTAATGTGGAATAGATATCTAATGTATATAAATGTAGTAATTATCCCCGATAAACCCTGTTGTTCACTGCTTTGTATATTTTTACCAAACATTTCGAAATGGAAACTTGTGTAAAGTATCTATGCACGACACTTATCAAGATCAAAAAACAGATGATTTTCAGTTTTGATTAAAAACATCAAGAACTAAAATCGATTTGCTATTGAAACAATATATCGAGTTTTACTCCAAATCTCAGTCAAATCGGGATCAACACGATTGTAGGAAAGCTGGTTAACTGACAACTTCGATAATAAAACTATCTAGCCACTCCTTTTTGAATCCACCTACTTACATTCTGAGCGAATTTCAGTTGAGCTTAGGGCTTATGAACCCTATTTTGAACGTGATGAATTTCGACACAATGCATAAATAATAATCATGTAAGCTACAAATCGGCCTTTCTGATGAAACTTAACAAGCAAAGTCAAAGGTATTTGACTTTCCACTCACAGTCATCGTTACTGTGTACAAAAAAGTTTACGGTTTGGTGAACGATGTTTTATGCTTGGATAGTATTGGTTTCTGTATATTATGACGTTTGAAGATCTCATGTATGTCAAATTAAAAACGTTCTAATGTATAATCAGACAAAAAAAGTTTTTGTTACTCGCTTTTTCATTTATACTGTTCATCCAATAAAGGTCGGCGGCATGTTCAAGTTCGCTTGGTTTCTCCATCAGCCAAATCTATGAATTCTGGAGACTGTTTTATTCTTGTGACCGCTAATTCAGTGTTCGCTTGGTTTGGTGAATGTGCTAACATTGTTGAAGTGAACAAAACTCGTGAATTAGCATCATGGATTCATGATAAGCATGAATTGTCATACCATGGAAGTTTAAGTGGAGTAGGACAAAATTCTGGTGATGGCTATATTGCAGTACATGAAAATACTGATTATTGCAATGCTACTGGTTGTTTGGATAATGATCAGAATAATACAAGTGATGATTCTAATCAGTCCGATGGCTCAGCTTTGAAATTCTGGAAAGCTCTGGGGTATAATTCACCACAAATTGTTCATCGTAAGTATGAGATACGTAAGCTATTGTTAGTCGCTGAAATTAATTGCTTATCGACACTCAAATAGTTCAATTCAGATGAAATGAAACATCCTAAATACTATTTATACACAGTTAAGTTAGGACAAAAACTGGAATATATCTTTGAGTCTTAAATCAGCTACATTCAGGTCCAGAAATAAAGAAGATCTCTTATCAAATTAAACATTGTTTGAAAGAATTAATTACACGTGTTTTTAATCCATCTGCAACTGACAAGATTCACGAAGACTTGTATATTTATTTAGAATATAAGAATTTAGCTCTATCTTTTAATGTGGTAACATAGAATGAAAAATTAAAGGCGAATTGAGTTTTTGATCAAAAATGATCAAAATCACGGTTAAGTACTAGCTTCTACAGATTGATTTCAGTTAATGATATAAATAAAGAAAACAGCACTCGATAAACACTATTTTACTTTGAAAGCTGTCAAATCACTAATGTACTAATCTTGATTGCCCAGTGTCACATACAGACGTTGTTTATGTGAATATAGATAAACTAATCACAAAGTTTCGTTAGGATAACTTTCTAATATGAGAATGGATAGCTGACGGTTATAATATTCCAAACTTATACATTCTGTAGTCTTAAAGTACAGTAGTACAATTGACAAGTTTTGACGTAACATTCTGTGTTAACTGGATTCATTTATCAACAAAGCATATACTCAGTTTTCGGAAATTGATGTTAATCGCAACGTTTAAAATGACCTAACTCAGTCTTACAATATATATGATAGATTATATTCAGCCACAATTAAGAAATAGGCTAACAGTGTGCCAAAATCGGTTTATCATTACCACATATGGCTTAAATCAAACAACCGAATTGTCTGTGCATTGTAGAATGTTTCAGGATAATTGTTGTCACTACAACTAGATGCTTTTTTTTTCTATTTTCGAACTTATATTCTACTAGCTGCAGGACCACCTGAAGAAGACGAACGCTTTGAACTAATGATTCAGCATACTAATCGTGTTTATCGAGTTACTTTGGATGGCTTAATACCATGTGAACAATGTTGGGGTAATCCGGTGAAATATCATATCTTACAATCGAATCAGGTTTGTTTACGAATTAATCAGCATTCTACATAACTAACAATCAAAGTTTTTTAGGATGTTTTTACCAACATGAAGCTTCCGATCCGGTTTTATGCATAAAAGAAATTCTTTAAGGGTTTTAAAAGTGTAACTACTACAGTCAATATTGCCTACAGTTTTCTCACAAACATATCCCCTATCTGAACAGTGGTGTGATATGATTCTTTTTGAAAAAAAAAAACCATTAGGAATTGTATTAAATAAAAGTATCATATAAATATGTAATAAACAATAAAAGATTCTTCCTAACCGTTTGGTTCAATGGACAGTTTTCTGATATTTGAAGCAATCAACAGCAAAGCCATTTCTCATTGTGAACGTCAATAAACTGGATATACAGTTATCTTGAATTGGAAAGCCGTAGATCCGAGGGTAGAGGTTTATTGAATTTAGTCATTATTCAAAAGTACGATACATATTTAATTTTCCTATGCGCATTTTATTCTTACTGGCCTAGATGCCTGGCTTAAGATTAGGCTAGATGGAAGTTAAAGGTGGTTCATCCGAAACATGGCACCAGTCTATAAGGACATTAGCGACTGGACTAAACCATGTTCGCAAGTATAGATTACCTAGTTCAGTACAGCATGATTGTTGTAACTGGGGGCTACAGACTTTTATATAGTATGGCTTAGGATTCCTTGTAATGGTGCAGATGTACCCATTCATTGCCTTCACCCAGATTATACAAGCTTGTGAAATCTTCATAGTTTCTTATATCACTATTTTATATATTGTTGACTCGTATCTTGCATACCTAATCTTTTCTAATACGACCAATACTGTTGACACCTCTATTACTCAAGGATTTTTTATAGTAATTTAATCTCGCTGTGCTGATAGAGTGTAAGTACATGATACCGATGTACATAGGTATCAGGTTCAATGTTACTACTGGCTTAGTTTATTAAACAGCGTATATACAAAGAGTCGAATTTTGTATTTGCATTGTTTTTTGATGAAGCATATAATAATAATAATAATAATAATGACGAGTTACCTTTATACTTTGAGTTCAATTAACGTAGAAATTTGTTTGAATCACCTCAGTGTTATTAATAACATTTAGTCACTGAGTAAATATGTCTTTTACTCAACATCCTACTGCTCCGATAAGTACTTTTCGTTATAAAGTTCATGTGCCACACATGCCGGTAAGAAAAAATATCTTGGACACGAAATAGTATCTCATATAATGGTTCAGTCAAACACTTTACAATATTTCAACAATAAAACAGTTTGAAAGACAATCATCAGTTTGCATAAAATGAATAATGATGACTTCTTTGAACTCTACCCAATACCATTGGTTTTTTTTTACAGATTAATAGCAATAAATTCATGTCACCTCTCTAAAAAAAAAGACAAGTTTTGGACGCTTATATATATCTCTAACAAAACATGTTTATTTTCACCGTTAATTTTTCATTGACTAATGCTTATACTTTTTGTTTTATTTTAAATCGACATTTTGTGAAATTGCACTTTTTACCAGTTTCATTGTATGTACATGTAAAATGTGAATAAACTTGTCAAGAAAAAAACCAAATACAAAAATTCTATTTAACTAAAACTAAGAATCGATTAATTTAACCATGCATTTCACGTGATCTATGTTGTCCTTTGAAATTTGTCTCTAGTTGTACAATTCAACAAGAATTTTATTGTTTTTTTTATTCAGATAACAGTTATGTGGTATGTATGTTATTTTTATATTTGATGATCAAATCTACAAGGTAGTGGTAAAATTGTGAATTGCCAGCATCATTCAAATGATCATTTCTTAGTTGTTCAAAAGTACAAAGATTACAGTGTCCCTAGATTTTTATTTAAACAAATTTTACTGGCTATCAGTTAACTACCGAAGCAAAAATTGGTTATAATTTGAATAGCGATTAGTGGCAAAATATGAAATACTCATTACATTCTGTTTAGGACTTGTCTACTGAGCTTAAAAATAGATTACTTTGTTTCAAATCACAATATTTGTTAACCTAGTAATTTGAACTGAAGTTTTGACAAAAGGACTTTTCCATCAATCAACGTAACCAGTTGACTAATATGGAGGTCAAAACACAACAACACTTTCACTGTTATAATTTTAATATTAAAACAATTAACCAGTTAGACTGTTCAGAGATCAACAGTTCTATGAACTCATGTAATATTTTAGTCCCATATTTGAATGCTGTTTTCTAAATTGGTTGATACCAGCTGAATCAGAGTTTTTGCTTCAAAAGTTGTCGACAAGAGACTTTTGTTTTAGTCTCTTACCTTTTAGACTTTGCACATCTTACAAAATTTGTCTTTATTTTAAGGTATAATTTTGCATGAATAAATGCACTGGTAGATACACTATTGTTTCGATATATATATATATACGAATTCCCTCAATCGTTGTTTTCATATTTCGGATACAAATGATTTCTTCTTGTTGTTAAAACTATTATTTTACTTAAATATAGGCATTCGTTTTTGACTTTGGATCTGAAATATATTTATGGACTGGTAAACAAATTACTTCTGAACTTCGTCAAGCTGGTATTGAATTAGTCCAGAAAGCATACAACATAAATTATGATTTTGGCCAGTGTAAATTGAATCCTTTGGATCCATTAGGCTGTAAGTAACAGTAATACTAAATAATCAAATTATAGATTTTTATTACAGCCATTTCAGTGAAATCATTCAGTAGCGTAAAATCAATATTTATTTATTATCCACACACTAGTATCACGTGAATATGCGTCACAAACGCAATCATTATGATCAAGGTATGCAGTAAACAAAACTGGTCCAACCATATATATAATCTTTAAACATTTCAATCATTCTAGACACAAGCTATTTTCTTTCCTAATTTAAACATTACACTGTTTTATTTAAGTGAGTTCGTTTATTCGTCCTCAACATGACCATATTTGGTAAGATAATTTACTACTTTATGTAGTAAGTATATAAGCTTTAATACAGTCATAAACTCGATCGGATAAGTACGTTTTTGGAAGACTCATCGAGCATAGTAAAAAACACTCAATTTCTGTTAGAATTGTATAATTTTCTGTAACAGAGGTTTAGTCTAGTGCTTTATGAGAAACTGTTTCATTTGAATATAGTTGAAGTCATGGAAAACACTGACTGTAAAATAATCACAAAAATCCAGGAAGCAATAGATAGTTGTTTTAGTTTAAAGCTAACGTTCGGTGCCTAGTTACGACACTACATGCTACTGAGTCAAGGATCATGTGATTTTTTTGGAGAGTACCAAATGTCTCTGAATATTGTGAAAGAATTTACCAGTTCATATTGGTGTACTGACAACAGAAGTGGATTAACTGAACAATATGTAAAATGATTGCACTGATCCAAAAAGACAAACATTTGAGATCTGGTTTATAGGTTTTACTTTTGAGGAGAGAAGCCTGGACTAGTGAAGGAGATACCACTTCGTACTGTGATATGTTCTAGGATTCGGTTAAGAAATAGAATAACCTGTACTTTATGGAAATATGGTTAGTTTTTTGCCTGAAATTACCAGATTTGTTATGAGAGTTGCGCTTACCTAGTTTGAGGAAAACGATTAGCCATATCAGGTTCAATACCAATTTTCGATACTATACGCATCATTAAAAACCGTCTCTCAACCTATGGTAGGATAATATGAAAGAATCTAACCTCGAAATCATTCAATGTGATGTGAATCAACAATCTCCTGAACTGTACGGATAACCGTTTTTGTACTCGTTTTCTGAGCATTTAAAATGCAACAACTGGTCTTTGGTCTGTTGCATGAACAAAACCTTCCGAAGCTCATATATAACACCTTGATGGTGGCGGGCACTGACCAGTTTTCATACCAATAAAATAAATTTCTCAATCTATGTTCCTAACAGTAAACTAACATAATCACATCTGATTTATAGAAGTTATGTTTAGATCGAAGATTTAATGTATGCATCTTGAAGTGAATTCATTTCATCCAAAATGTATACTGCTCTTCTTCAATATTCATATTTAGTATACTTGTAATTGGTCACTTATTAATGGGAATTTAATAATTAAAATTTAGTTAGGTTTATCAATATTTAACTCTGAACTTGAGCACTGTCAGCTGAATTTGAGTAAATCAACTCTGTTGTTGTATGCAAACTATTTAACACCAGATAATTGATTTGAATGTCATTTCGAATAACTATCAAGTTTAATCGGTAAACAGATTTTGACTTTATATCTTTAACTACGACCCTGTACATTGAAAATAAACATCGTGATAAATATTATTTTCATCTATAACAAACTGATCATTTGACTATAATTTATCTGCTGCATGATTGACACTATGGTTGTAATTATTAGTATTATCAATTTCTTTCCAAAGACGACCATAAGTTTATATGCTGACTTTATTGGAATATAAATATCTGACTTAGGTAAATGACTGACAAATAGGCTAACTGATTAGTTTTTCACTTTACTTATATTGTGTGTCAAGCATCCCAGATAAACTGAATTCATCAAACTAATCGAATGTTATTTTTAAACAATCATCTACATACATTTGTCGAAGAGTTATGATGGGCATAAAACATGCATGATCTGATTTGTCATCAGAAATTGAAATGGCTCAATATGCTTTGCTAAACGTTATGAATAATAGAAAAACAAATTTACAGTCATAAAATCTGTTCGATAATAGTTGACATTATTAAAAGCTAAGGGGAATGAAGTATTTTCTAGCTCTTGAAACCTTTGTAAACTGTAAATGCTGTTATTTTGTGACAGCATTACCGTGTATAATGACAAATGTCACTAAATCCGATTGAATTCTGCACTGATTGACAGATCATGCATATATATATATATATATATATATATATATATATATATATATATATATATTATATCAAACTATATATTAAAATGAATGATTTCGGGAAAAAAATACATCACTCATCTATCTCTAACTGATTAGGATTTTATTCATCATTTAACACAACCAGAAATGTTTCTTTCATTCCATACTTTTGACTCTCGCATGAATTTAAGCTTCAGGTGAAATGAACTACTGAAAACAACTGTATAATACACTTTGATTTCCCTAACTATTAACTAGTACTGGAGATTGATTGACAGAACTAGGTTTTTACTTGGTAAACAACTTCAAATACTTTTGCTGAGTTAATATGTATTATTTTTCAAATTTAAACCAACAAATTGGAGTAATTATAATCCACAGTAAATATATTTTTTTAATTTTACAAATCAAAACAATTTATTTTAGCACACAGTGATATATTAGCTTCTGGATGCAAACGACCGGAATGGACTCTACTAGGCAAAGTAACTGAAAAAGGCGAAACAGTGCTGTTCAAAGAGAAATTCTTTGATTGGCCTGATACTTCAAGAATTCAAATAAAATCACTGAAACCTGGAAAATCAGCCTCCCTAGAGGTGGGTCAAAATGTGTATGTGTATTTATTAGAAAATCTATCTTGTTAATGAAACGATAAAAATTACAAAATCCAATTACAGAAATTTTTGACTAATTATGACCCAAAGTATTATTAATTAGCCTATTAAATTTCAGCATAGATTTTAATTTTAAAAGATGGTATGTAATTCTATTACAATTGCATCTATACTTTAATTGCATAAGTGTAAGAAATTCTCATTGTTAAAGGAGAATCTTTCTAAATATATGCAATCTGTTTTAATGATAAGGCAGAGACTTGAAAACAACTACTTTCTAATGATTATTTGAAGAACACAGTTTAAAAATTGCAAATCTTGATGACTAAATGCTATATGTTTTATAATACAACAAAGAAAATGAATATTTACTGAGTAAAAGAATAAGTATTCACCTTTCATAGAGTACTGTTATTTTATCAACTAAATTCAATGAAATTATATACATCAATATGTCAATTTAGTTCGAACTTACTAAATTTTGTAAACTTGATGCATTTGAAACTCGGTATAATACAAAATGTTTACACCGATTGCAATACTGTGACTTTGATCTTTATCTCAACAACCTTACGATTATTACATAATGGGGAGAAAAAACATTTCGATCAGTAAAGCGTCATATTCGAACATCTGGTATGTTAAATGTCCCAATTTTTAAGATCACCCATTCATGATTACGTACATTTCAACTCATTTACGAGTGAAATTAGTGAATGATAAAAATGTTGCAAGTTATCTATAAATAAATCCATAGCCCCTGTTAACAGAGGATTGCTTCAGTGTATGCAATACAAAAATTGTGTGATTATTTATTACAATAAGCAATATAGTTTTTAGAATGAGTAATATTTTCAAAAGTTAAGTGTATATTTGGTGAAATATAAGCGCTTATACTTGTTAATATATAATTTCCTAAATTATTTTCTCAAAAAAATCTTTTCTAAAAGGTTTCTCCTGCTGTAGCCTCATTAACTATGGAACCGTATTCAGCTAATGAACTGTATGAAGCTGCAGTGAATAATCCATCACCACCGCCTAATTTATTGACACTTGAAGGACGATTTATTGGTCGTGGTGGTAAAGTATGCCGTTATGAAGATGGTATAATAAGACAATTTTGGGTTGAAACAAACGAACTTCGTGTATGGCATATATCAGAATTCTCTAGATATGAATTACCTTTAATAAATCATGGACAATTTCATCGAGAAGATACTTATGTGATCCGATGGTCATATAAAATTTCATTTAGTAAGTAATAACATTGGCTTTTAAATGATTACTTGAAGTAAAATATTAAATAATCGTTCTAATAATAAATAAATCTTAATATCATTAAAGAATCTATTTTTGATACATATTTATAATAAATGATCGTGAAATCATGGACTAATATTTTATTCTATCAACTATAAAAGTAAGGAGCGGGGATAATTAAACTTTATCCTTGTTGGATTATATAATTAAAGTCTCATCTTTGAAAACATATAATCCCTTATTATGAGCAGTCTATCGATACATCGCGCAAGTTTATCTTTATATTCGAATGTGTTTGTTCTGAAAGTAGATGGAAAGAGAAGTTAGTTACATTTTAATGCGAAACTATTCCCTCCAGAATTCTTGAACTTTTGTTCAATCTATAGGCTAGTTTGTTTAGCTGAAAAATTTCTTATACCTACTCTATACTGATCAGATATTTTTCATTTTATGTCAATTGTACTTACTCCCTTACGATTTCTTATTCAGCACATGAACATTTGCGTCAGAATTCTTTTTTTTTAATTAAAATAATGACGTACAAGTAAAGAACACTCATTTTTAATAAGTTAGCATCGTATTATTAGTTCAAATCGCTAATCGAAAAAAATAGTTTGCTTTCAAGCAAACACACTTCTGAATAATCGGGACTGCTTATAAGTTTTAAAATGGCTAGCATGCCGTGTAAAATCAGGAATAAGTACAAGTAAAGAAGAATGATAAAAATAATATTAGTAGATATTCTACAAATTCATCTTTCCTATCTCATGAACATCTTCCAGCATGGGTTAAAAAAATGTAGTTAAGACTGTCACAGGTACGAACGTAGACTTTTGACAGAAACTAGGACAATACATCTGTTTGCAATCAATTATTTGGGCAACCTACTAAATTGTAAGTGATTTCCTCAGAACAGTTAAAACCGGTCGCATGAAAGAAGTCTTGGTAGCATGACTTTATAAAACCTGAACTTTTCATATGATAAAAATGATTCTTCCTTTGGTTGATCCAATAACTCACTCAGCAGTCATTTTTTTTGACAAACTGACCTAATATCGCCTACGTACATATATTCATAAATGTTCACCTTCTCATTTCATCTCACTGACTGGTTTTTATTTCGCCCCTATGTATTTGAACAGTTTATTTGTCTCTCAATTCATCTCCTTTTTTAGTTCACAAAATAATGCATTACGTATCCCCTGACTATCAAGTATATGATCGGTTCTCTTAATTTACATTATTTATATTTATTCCTATCGATATTGCTACTACTTCTTCTACTACTATTAGTAGGAGTCGTAGTACTACTACTACTACTACTAATAATAATAATAATAATAATAGTGATAGTTGACCTACAAACTAAATCAGATCTGTACTGCATGCCAATTTTGTCAACATTAACGAACAAATTAGAAGAGTTTATTTTTCTGTTATTGACATTCAAGTCTGCAGTTAATCAGTTTCTGTTGGATTAAGTGCATTCTGAAAGGATACCTAGATGATCTAGTTTTTTTCAATTATTGGTTTTTTTTCTATCATATAAAAATTGTCACACAACTTTTTTCCTATGTCACCATACTTCCCTGGAAAATTATTCAATAGGACAAGATGGTTTTAAATGACGTAAACCTATGCAAACATTTCAGAACTGATATTCATATCTTGAATGAAAATACTAACAATAAGTTGATTTATTTCCTCATTAAAATTACTTCATGTACATACTGTTCTTAGAACAATCGATACATCAAAACTTTGCTTATGCAAGATATTTTCAGTTGTATAAAGTGAATTTTCATCTTTTTTTTTATTAAATAAAATTGGAAATGATTTCTAGGGCTCATTTGCTTTTAGTTTATGAAAAGCAAACAAACCGTAGTGACCTTGTTTGTAATTTAGAATTTAATATACTGTTTTCATCTACCTGAGAATGCTTAAATGGATTCCAATGAGACTCAAGCATGATACACAATAATTAGTCTAAGTTGTAACCTTTTAGTTAAGAAGTATTAGTTGTTGTGATGATAAAAATATGTTAACAATTTATAATGAATATAATTAAATTTAAATAACTATTGTTATTTTACACAACATTAATTTATAAGAAACTATATTGGGTTACTGAAAATAGACATCTCAACTAACATTATCATAATTTGATGTAATTAAATAAAGGATATCACATACGCACTCGAATTTAACAGTTTCTTGATTTTTAACTTCTCAGTGATATTATAAACAAATAAAAAATCAGTAGTACTGAACTCAAAAGTTAAAAAAATAAGATAAATTTCATTGATCTTTTTAGGAAAAAAGCCATGATACTAGAATAGTTATTATTTGTCAGTATTTATTTTAACCTAACTCTCCTAAATAGTCATAGTTAAAGCAATCGCAATGTGTACATTGTAAACATATGACTTATGTTTTTGAACCGATGTGTAGTAATTTTTTCACTATGTGCTTCCATGAATTATGAAGTATCTTATTTTCTGATCCAGAATTATAATCAAAATCTAAACCCCAAATGTGGATAGAAATCATTTAAAATACACAGCTGTTCTTTAATTAAATACGATTGTGATTGTTTTACACAGAAAAGGTTATAAATTGAACTAGTTTAATAGACAAAATTTAGTGGTAACTTACTATATATTCTTGATTCCATAGTTAAGATTTTCATGCCGAAATATGGAAATGCTTATTAGGATTATCTTCTTTAATTAGCAAAATAATAATTACCCTTTATCACTGCTACAATCAATTAATCTTGTTTTTCAACTGACACGTAAGTTGGTAAAGGATACCAAGGTCAGAAGTAATTAGATGCATGGCATCAGTATATATTATATATTTAGCTTAAACTGTAAATAAGTTTGAAGTCAGTTGTATTCGGTTTTATAAAACATATTAAATGATCTCATTCAAACTTTACATCTAAACCTTCATGCACGGTAGTCGTGTTGTGATAAAAGTTAAGATTATAGATCACCTGTACTAGGAATAGTTGTACTATTTGTATATCAATTCATTACAATCTAAACATTGTATTAAGCGCCCAAATTAAAATCAGAATCAATGATGTTGTTCACTAACAAACAAGAATTATATAACGCTATCAGTCAGTCATATGAAACAAAGAATCTGGTACATGTTCACATCTGTTCAAGTTGTCGTATCGCAGTAACATCTATAGATGTAGTATAACTATTTGTAAGAAAATACTAGGTTTAAAAGAAATGATTCTAGAAGTAAATGATAATTCGTGGAACGAAAAACAATTCCAGCCTAGTCAAAGAACCTCAGTATCGATTGGAAGACAAAGAGTGAGTTCACTTAAATCATTTCGAAAGATGTTAAGCTATGTCATCTAAAGTCTTTTACTGTTGGTTATGATGATTACATGAACGCTAACCAACTAATCTATGCCTACCTAAACAGCTATTCCAATGGCTGATAACTTCGTAGACTGATGGCAAGTTTTAGTTTGTCTGCTACTAGCTTTATTCCAAACCATTCTTATATCAGCCATCGAGGGATTATGTTAACAAACGTTTAGTGTATTATGTGTAGCTTGTAAGGAAACATGAAGTATTTTTCATAGATATTTCCATTCGCGTTGTATCTATAAAACAACGAGCTAACAATTTAAGCTTTGTAACTTGCATAGTATTTAAACTTTTCACATTACTACTTTTAACAACTGCACTATTTTCAAATCATTTTAAAACTATTCAAGATTATTTTATAAGACTGATGTTGGAAACTAATACTACATCCATAAACTAAAAAATTGTGACCTCTCAAAACGGATACTCAGATTTTAAAAGCCTAGATTTTAATGATTTAAAGCTTTTAATATTTAAAGCTTAAAAAATTTAGATAATAATTATAAGCCGTTCAGAATATTCATAAGAAATATACTTCATGAATGATTTTTATACGAATGTTCTTTTAAGTAAATTCTTTCATACTTTAATCATTTCTCATTCAATAGTGTTTAACTTGCTATGATTATTGTTTTGTGAATGATTTTCATTATTGTGGTCACTTCTAGGAAAATCCCTACGTCTGCTTAAACCAGAAGTTCATTCTACCTAATAATCTAAGTAGACTTAAATTTATCACTCTCCACAGTAGTGATTAGATGTTTGACAATACTGGCTAAACTGAACTGTACATGATGTTGCTTGAAATTCACTTTGTTTCACTTAATAATTCCATTGAGGATGTTAGATCCCCATAACTCACTTGGTAAATATCTTTATTTCGGATTTATTTCATGGAACGATCGGTTGAACTTGAGATCATATTTCTCACCAGGAAAATCCTTGGCTGTTACTGTGTCATTTTAGTGTTCTCTTTTTGTGACTGTCCCAAGGCCGTCTCTACGGAGTATAAATAAACGCAATTTGAGTGCTTGCAATCATTGTGTGCTGGCTGGGTGTTTGTAGAATACACTTTCTACGATATATCAAGACTTCTTGCCGGTGCAATTGGATCAAGGAATCACAGTAGCCTACCTGGACGCTGGTTCATTGTTTTGTTCTCGTTATTCGACTAAGGTGAACCCGTAAAAGTTTTAAGTATACCTAGAGACGAGCATAATAAATTAAAACACTAGTATGTTTTACTTAAATTCTTTGTGCGTGTAATAATGAGAAATTATTAAAGGATATGTGTATTTGAGATGCGGTAACTAGAAATCATAATGGCTATTGTTTACTCAACATTTGTAATTAACATCGATTTGCATCTATTTTCCCTTTTTATTGACTAGAATTTACTCACCTATCATTTTTAAAATCTGTAATATTGTTTTAGCACTACTTTTCATTGATAAAATCAAGCTTGTACAAACCAGTAATTCACTGTATTATTGGATTTAATGTCACTGATATTCAGTCATACTTTCTGTTGAACTGCTTTCTATCATTTACTAATTTATTTTATTTTCATAATAGACAGTTTAAAAAATAGCAATAAACGTGCAAATGAAACTGTACCGGAACATTGTGCTTACTTCTTTTGGCAAGGATCACAAAGTAAAATAACGGAAAAAGGTGCAGCTGCTTTAATGACTATTGAATTAGATGAAGAAAAGGGTCCACAGGTTAGTTTGACACAATATTTCTATTCAATAAATTTTTTTAAATTAGTTGGTATCTGTTTAGCCAATGAGTTTGAATAAACTGTATGTAATTCAGTGTGGATTTTATCAATCGGGTCATTATTTTTAAATTTATTTTTTGAAGATTCGTAAAGTATATACTGAGAAAAGAAACAAATCATTTCTAGCATATCATATATCAAACCTCATATAGTAGACCTGTACAAAAAACTCTGCACTGTAACGTTTGCTTGATTCAAATCTCCCAAAAAACTAGGAATCTGTAGTTTGAAAATGTTATATAATCCAAGTTATTAGTAATTTTTTATGAAGTAAATCCACAAGTTTGTTCATCTTTCTTGCCTTAATGATAATTTTAGAAATGTATTTGCATACCATTCATTATAATAAAGCCACATTTCTTTATATAATAATCACTTATAGCTGTATTTATTGTAAAGAAAAACTGATCATCAATCAATGATACAATACATTTCATTCAAACAATAATTGTGAATAGAGAAAAACCATCATGATTTACAAAATAAACTAAATGAATAATACTTGCATGCTTTATATAACCTGAACACTGATAAAATATTACAGGCCATAAAAGGATTGCTCAACAAAATTTTGATATACTTTAATGAATCAATCCAGCTCAGACTGAAATCTGAAACTATACATATGATTAGAAAGTATAAGATTAAAAAAAAGCCACATAAATATTTATAGTAATTTAAATTAATTCTGACTAACAAGTAGAAAATTATCATATACGAAAATGATTATATCAGCACATAGTAATGTACCTCAGAAAACTAAACGAATTCCATAATTAGACGACGTAATTAAGTCAAAATTAACTCATACGTTCAATTTAATGAACAATAGTTTGATGACAGTTTATTTTACCAGACCTAAACAATTCTCTTTAATCTTTTTCCTCTTAATTGCTTAAGCGATTATGAATTAATTGAAAGCTATAACTCCTTATTTCAAAAGTCCACTCCCTTTTCACAACAGAATTTAGTCAATAAGATAACTTTTACAACTTGGCTTTGAATTGAGGAACGCTGCTATTAAATTTTATTGACTACAGTTTCTGCCAGATATTTTCCCAATTAAATCTTGTAGGGTGTAACATTTTCATCAGTAAGATTATTATTTCACGGCTGTTATTTCCGGATGAAGATTAAAGTAAATAGTAGCTTAAGAAACCAGTTTACGGGTCATTGTTGCATACAGTCTAACTAGATTTTAATCTATGTATATTCTCTGTATCCTGAGCACTCGAATAACTCATTAAATATAGTCATATGATTTATTATTCTCGATTTGTCTCAATCTCCCCTTGTTCACAGCCACCTTTGGCTCATCCATGTACAGTTTTTACTTTCGAATTTATTGATATGATGTAATCTAGTTGTGTGTATATATAAAGGAATGTCTGAAATATAATGACGAAAAATCTTGGACTGGTGGTCATTATTCTTTGTTCTTCTTTTTCTTCCATTGAGATGAGTCAGTGTTGAGCTCCGTCGTTCGAGTCTAGTATAGTCCAAGCTTCCGTCTTTGTTGTATATTGGCTGCTGAAAGGTCGCTTGTGTATTGGTTAGCTTAAGAATATAACAACACTTTGACAACAGAATGAAGCTCATTTAAATATTAGATCTCTTTGAGTGGTAATTTTTGATCCCAATGAGAATCAACAGTGATTTGTCATTTAAATAAAACGATAAATAGCTAACCAACTGAAACTGGACTGTTTTAACTGCTTCGTTTTAACAAACATATTTACAAATCATTCCAGCCTAATAACATCACTGTTAATTCTTTAACTTGAAGGTAGTTTTCAGTAAAAACTTATAACAGCTGAAAGATTAATGCTCATTATTGACAAGTGAGCAGTTAAATAGTGCTTGTTTAAGAAGAAACAGCAGTCCAGCACTGCTTAATTTTCAATGGTTTATTAGTAGATTTCAAATGAAGATTTAAACTATGATCATTACTCCATTTAATCACGGCTCATTAGAGAGTTTCTGGGCTTTACAATGATGCTGATTTTTGATGACGTTATTAGTGCACTTCTGGAACACTCCCATTTATGTGAATTTCGAAGTGATGATCTAGTTTAGAGCAACCATAAAAGCTATTAAATTAAACTGTCTAACTAGGCCAGAGAAAGTGGCAACAACATCAAAATGTCTTAAATGATATATATATTTTTAAAGACAGTTAGTGGTTTAAATATTTATTATTTTCAAAATTCTGAATTTCTTACACTGATGGCATCACTGTTTTCCTAATAATATTAAATCCTTAAATCAAAAACCTTCAATATTTACTTCTTTTTTTATATTTGTAACAATAATTAGATAAGGGTGGTCGAAGGGAGAGAACCACCAGTATTTTGTTATCTTTTTAACGGGCGAATGATTACGCATGCTGGGAAAAGAACTACACCAAAAGAAGTAAGTTTTTGATTGTAAATATTGTGAATGTTTGGAGGAAATCATTTGAAGAGAAAATGTCATATTTATTATTGTATAGAAAAAATTTCCATTATATGAATGTGGAATTCAAACTCTACTAGTTTTTATTTAGATGTTCAAATAATTTATTAGTTAACAGTAAGAGAAGTGAATATTTAGTGATAAAGAATAAGGTAAAAAGGTTAGTTTGCATAATTCAATGCTAAACTTCATTTCAAAAATAACCATAACCTCTAATTAGTCGGAAATCTTCACTGATCAAGTGATTATTAGTAGTTACTTGTTTATTAAATCAGTATTAAAACAGTGGAATCTATTTTGGTAGATAATACTGTTGACGACAATTATTTAGTCATTTCCCTTACCACATTAAACATTGAGTTCTTAATTAAAATGAAGCAGTTTTTAAACTTCAACTGGTTTTTGGTGTCTATTTGTAAATGGGAATTAACTAATTCATCAGTTTGTCTATCAAAGTCTGAAATGTTAAATGTTATTTTAAACAGTTAGAATGATAAACATGGTCATCATCTAGTGTAAAACTACTTAATATTTCCGAACTATCCAGTGTATCATTGTTATTAATTCCCCAATGTGTGATTTTAATTCACAAACGAGTTGCAGGATTTTTATCCCAAAATCCGATCATATCCTCACTTTTATTTGAGATCTACTAGTGGATAATTTAAAGATATAACTCAAGACATTATTGTTAAGTAAAAATATTATTTCTGTTCAACTGCTGGAAAGTTTAAAATCAGATTCTAACCGTGGTACGTTAGTGATATAAACCATTTTTGTTTAAATATCAGTAAAAAATGTCTGTTTTGACTCGATTTAAACCATGTTCAATTATATAATTCTACATTTAATCTTTTCAATTATTTCCGTATGTAGTTTGCTACACGTATGTTCATTGTCCGTGGAGAAGTTGCAGAAGAAGGCCATCTCATCGAAGTTCCAGTTCAGTTAAATTCATTACGTCCACAAGGTGTCCTTTTACTATTGCAATACACCAAATCTTTAACTACAGATTCTGTTGAAATTATTAAAGCGTTTTGTTGGATTGGTCAGTTAGTGCCAGAGAATTATTTAACAACAGCAAAATATATTTTCAAACAATTAAAAGAATCGTGAGTTAGCAATAATTAATCTTTCATTATTATTCAATATTATGTTATCTTGTCATTAGTATTAATTAGATCCTGTCAATGAAGTTGCCATACTGCCACCAATCTAAGTCACTCGTTATCTCAGTGAACTAGGTGTAATGTTAATTGGTTTGAGACAATAAATAGCTGAACGTTACCAACAAAAATAATCATCCATATGGGATTCTAGCCTAAAACATCTAATGCCCAAACTGATTTATAGTATTACATCAGTTGTACAACTGATTCGGTCTACAAATCTGCATATGTTACCAATCACTAGTCTATATCGATCCCCCTATCAGTTGAGTACATTAAAGATGATGATATTTCTGGCATTTTTGATTACTTACTAAACAGTGTACAAAATTTCTATTTATCCCTAAAGAATGCAGATTAATTGTAAAAATAATTTTTGTTAATTATCAAATTTTCTACATGTACATTTTGTAAAGTTGTCCACCAGAACTTGGCAAACAATTAAATGTGATTTATGAAATTCATCAACAAGATACAAACGAACTTGCTGAAGAATTTTTAAACATTCTCAAATCTGAGGATCAAATGTCAAGTGCCTTGTACTTAGATGCAGTTAAATGTAAGAGTACACACAATCTTATAAATAGTTCTGTTTAATTATTTATTGATTTGACTGAAAAAAGTTTTTGATTACGTAGTGTAAATTTGCTCGATTTTAGTATTTTTCTTCAGTGTATAATTTCAAAGATATTAAATTTTACAAATAGCTACGCTGTTTTAGTCGCACACATTGACTAGCAAAATATCTCACCACGTCATCACATTGAAGAATGTTTAGAACAACTGAAGTTCATCAAACAATGTGAATGTCACCTAACGTTTTAATCGATAACATGATTTAAGAGATAAGCAATCAGCTAGTTTTCCGCAACGTCGCACTAAAAGTTTATCTACTGTCTAGTTTCATCTTCTGACAATTGATATCTTGAATCTATACCTTGATCCAGAATAGTTAGTTAATTTAGAAGTAATCAGATGCAAAACCGCCTTAACAAAATCAGTCTACCTTGATTATCTTCATTTCTGTTCTTTGATTTTGTAGCCAATAATAAAAAAAAATCCTTGTATAAGTCTCATAAATCTTCCTTTTCTTTGTATAAATTGTTTTTTGATAAAAACTAATGAATCTTGACTATTTTTGATCATCATTAGAGGCATTTAAATCTGTTATTGCTTCAAGAATTGATATCGAAAGCTTCTGAGTGATATAGTTTGTTTGTGACAACCCATAACAAATCAGTTGCAATTTTCTCTTATTTCACTCGCTTAACAATGAATGAGCCAACACCATTTATCAGTGATTTTCAAAAATGACGAAAGTGTAATTTATGTCGTGGTGACTTTTTCTATAACCCATTTATGTGGAAGTAAGAACTGTTAGGTGACTAATTGATTCTACTTCTGGTCTAATTTAAAAGGTTTTCTACTCCCATTTCAAAATGTATTTGCTAATCAATGCTTGAATCATGTATTGACCAGTATAAATTTTGTTACAGTTCATAAAAAAAAGTTTTCTTGCAAATTATAATACTTACTTGGTTTTAAAATTGACTTCCGCTATATTATCATCAAACAAAACACAGTATAAACATATCCACATGAAGACATGAACATACATGAATTAACAGTAAATTAGGAATGTACGTGTACGCCTATGAAATAGTGATGAGTAAACGATAGAAGTTTGTCTTCTTACTAGTTCAAGCCCTGTATTCTATATTCTCAATAGACTACTTTCCCGATAGAATTAAAACCTCCATTTACTTCGAAAGAAAGTTCCATCAAAACACAGTTCAGTCGCCTGAATCTATCACATTCTTCATTGGTCGTGGGTAGTGAATTCTACTGTCTGTGCAATTTTCGGTGCACACCTCTCAGAAATTCTGAATTAGATTAAAGAATCCATAATAACAGTTCTCAGTTTTCGAAATTGCTTTGGCAACAGTCAGGTTTCATAATAATACCTTCAAATTTTAATGTTGGTTTGTAAAATGTTTTGAGCTAAATGCAGATTAGTGTTAGACTGACAACAATTCTTGATGTTTCTTATATTATCCTTTGACATTAAAGAGAGACCATTTTTTGATCATCTGACTTGTTAATTATATCTTTTAACAACTGGAATATAATGACTGAACATGTTTCTATCTATGTGATAAATCAACGGATCATAAATATTTTTGAAATATATTCTGGTAATCTCTCTTACTTTGCTTGAAAGTATAAGAATGAACAAAAAACTAAACTGGGAAAGTATAAAGCCCTACTTTCATCAAAGGAAGATTATTTGAATAAATTATGTAACGCTTAAGTAACATACTGATCACAGGATAAAGAAAATGATCATTGCAAACAATACAATGGATCTTATTCATTTGTTCTTTTTAAATTTCTCTCAGTGTATTGACTAACAAATACCAAGATGAATAGTTATATATATCCACCAAAATTTTACGTCCACTAACTGAATGTAACTGAAACTAGGAAGATATCCAATCGTTTTATCGTTAACTTATTCACATGATAACCTATTTTCTACATTTCATATTAGCTCACAGTCGAATGGCTATTTGGCAGTTTACACATCATAAAGGACGTAAACTAGGCGTGGAACGATTAAATTATACACTTCAGCCAGACCCGGAAAGCTTGCCATTGAAAGAAAAGCCGATCAAAGCTAAGATAACTGATGTATCACCATCCACTTTATTTACTGAACAAATCACTGGACGACTTTCGGCATCGCAAAATTTAATTACTACCCATTTATCACAATCTCCTATCGAACCAGCTTTCCCATTTCTACTTGGAGATTTATACTCTGTGCCACAACCATGTAAGTGTTTTTAGTAAATAATTTGTTTGCATCCAAAAATGACTAAGTGAAACCAATAGGAATGTATATTCTTATTTGGAAACATATTTACCCGTAAAACAGCATCATTTGAAGATCACTGGTTTTAATTTACTGAAGTCCATTCAAATAAATGAGTAGCTAATATTATGTTTACAGTTCTAATACAAGGTCTTATTCGCTTTTAGTATGTATTATTTTACTTAAACTATTAAATCTCTTAGCGACATGATGCAAACATGTTCCGACAGATAAACATTATTCAGACTTAAGTGGAATTTATTAGTGTCAAAATAGTACTAATTTAATTGTAAGATGAGAAACGTTAAATTAATAGGTAAAAACAGAATCTCATATTCTTCAGATTTGTGTACAAATTGTATGTTTGACCGGATGTAATTACCTGAAAAAGATGAGACTGTTTTCTTTTAGATACATTTGAAGACTATCATTCTGTTCTAAAGAAAAGTTTACCTAAAGTTGTCATTTAGGTAGGCGTAATTATTGATAAATAACCTTAATGCAACCGACGATTCATCAACTCAAAGAGTTTCCTCAAATTATGGGGAAAAAAGATGCCTACCACATATAATGATTACTAAAGCTGTGAAATTCGTTCATTATATACTAGATGAGATAAAAAAGATACCATTTATATATAATACAACTAGACAAATGTAACACACATTTTCTTTTTCAGTGTAGAGATTTGTAGATTTTATTAAATTTTATGATTTAAAATTATCAAATGACTTAAGCAAGACAATCACTAAATCTTAACTCACTGGTCTAAATATTAAGCACTGGAATCGGGACTGAAGGCTCTGGGCTTGATCCCTGATGAAACTATGGATGTGCATTTCTGGAGAGTCCTGTACTAAGGCGAGACAAATTTCTAGTCCTTCTTGTCTATCAGTGTTATTTAATTACAATCAGTTGATGATACAAACTATCAAATACATGGTCATGTAAGAACTCTGAAGCTAGCCAAGTATCCGATTACCTAATTGTATCTATCAAATAATGCGTTCTATATTTTTGTCCAAAGAAAACATGACTATATTCTCATGTAGACTACTTTATTCAAGTTAACATATTCACTTAACTATCCATACATTTGTATATATGATTTAAAGATCAAATGCTAGTTTAGTGAAATTTATTCAAAAATTGTATAATATAAAAATATTTTCCATAATTTCATTCAACTTCAACTTGACTAGTGAATAATTTGTTTACCTAATATGGATAATAGTTAAATATTTATGACCTGAATTTAGCCATTTAGTCTGAACACTAATTGTTCACTATAACTTTACAAGTTATTATCTATTTTCATTTTAAGAATCATTGTGTAAAAAGGTATACTTGATTTTCAGAAAACTATTTATTTTCTATGTAAAAATATCATTCGTTAACAATTCAACCTTTCAATAAATTGATTATTTATTTTGCTATTACTTATGTAATAGACAGTAAATAGCTGTGTTGATCCATACATGTATGGGTATGTTATGTGCGCAATATGTATGTTGTTTGTATGCACAACATAAAAAATCGATGTTGTGTGTGTGTGTACGCTCTACTAATATTCGTTTATATATAATACAATAGCAATTCTGGTTTGATGTTGAACAGAAATGTTATTATTTTACTATTATATACGTACACTACACCGTATTGGCCATCCAGTGCCTCCAGGTTTCTAATGGTAGACTAACAACAATTTGATCAGATAATGAAATCTGATAGATATTTGATACCTAGCTGTTATATACTACTTTTCAACTACTACTGGAATAATAAACAACATAACCATATTCACGAATGAACATTAGTGCTCTTAGTTTAACAGATGAATATATTAATTGATATTTGAAACTTTGAGTATGCTAAACTATCCGAAAAGTTTTTATCGTTATTTCTGTTTGGTATACTCTAATGCATCCATGATTCTTGTTATGTTTTTGATTTCATTAGAATCTATAAAAGTTTTATGTGGAAAGTGCTATAAATAAGAACAAAATGTGATTCAGAATGACTAGTAGGGGAATCTTCCTCGTCATAAAGTTGAAAATTACAGAATTCTTTTGAAAAAAATCAAGTTTATTTCAATCGAGTTTCTCCTTGCTCATATCTTCATTCTGATCACCCATGAAAGTATGGAAATATTACTAGATATTTGAGTATACATATGATATGGCAAATTATATGATGTTCATTTCAAAAGAATATTTTTCATAACATTCTATAGCTGTCCTACTAGGTTCCTTGGATTTAAAACTTTTATTCAGTATTTATTTCTTCAAAGCTCAAAATAAGCCATTATAAAAACTAGGTCAAAGGTTTCCCATATTTCACTTCTGGTCAACTAACGACTACTCTGTACAAACTGAGACTCAATTGGCTTATCTATAAGAGATGAAGATCAGTATCACGAGATTAATACGAATAAATTATGTCACTTGAGCAATATATTATCTCTTAGATGTGATCAACACACTATCGAATCAGTTTGTGGAAGAGATGAGATCGATAGAAGGTTTCTGAAAGAAGAATTTCAGACTTGTTTAAGAATATTGAAAAGATTTTGACTCGGATCATAGCGATAACTTCCATCGACAGTTAGTTAGTAATTGATTTAGAACAATTTTAGAGTATTTACACATAACTTCTAGAATTTACCAAAAACAATCAGTTTTATTTTGAAATTTTCAAGGTCATGTTGAAATATTTTCATTTCTTTTTTAATATTATTAACTAGAAGAAAATCTCTTAATTAGATCTTTAAGTAGAAAATACGTCACAAATTATAACCTAACACCAACCTTGCATTATTCTCTTGGCGCTTTCATGCTGCTACAGCACACAATGTAACATCAAAATAAACACGTGAACTAATAAAAAAAGTACATTTTTTATTTATTATCAGTGTTATTCATTCAGTGCATACTTCACATTTTAGAGATGTGTGACGTTTGATGCAAAATCACAAAGTGCAAAATCACTATCCGACAGTTGTGTTAACTCTAAACACAAGGTTATATAGCTGTAGAAAATGTTTGGTTTCATATCACCCGGATAATAAGGAATCACAATTTTTTTTAAATGGTTGAACAGAACTGTTCAAAAATCCAATATTAAAACATGTTACGACAATTCCTGTCAACCATCTGAAATCAATTATAAATAATTACTTGTGTTTTGTTTAACTTAATGGCTGTATTAGGTTTTTTAATAAGTAGTATTGAATGACAATCGCAAACACCAAATGTGATATCCACCTATTAGAATGGTACTTTTTTACCATTCAATCATTTTTATGTTCCGGAATTTCAGCCTTATTTCTGATTGTAACTCAAACACCAACCGTTTACATTTGGGAAGGATGGTGGCCAATATCTGATTTAACAAGATCTCGATTAATGTCACAAAAGTTGTCGAGGTCCTTTTCGTCTTATAGCAAGTCACCTTCTACTCCAGGAGAACAAACAGACGATTATAGATGGAGTATATCACTGGATGAATGTTTTGAATTCAGTTCGCCGACTTCAGCCGATGGATCCTTTGAGCTTGAAGAAAATGGACAACTTGCTTTGACGGGAACAGGTCGCGCTCGCTTCTGTGCTGTACGTAAAGCTGCGATGCATACCGCCAAAGCTCTAGCAGATAAATGTAAGTTGACTGTTACAATGCACTTCTGTCAAACCAAATTAAAATACTCAAGGTATTTATGCTAATGATAAAGTTCATGTTATGCTGTAGTGACGTTTTTTCTTGAAAACTGTTCATTAACAGATGATTGTTGATGGGAAAAAAAGAAATATCTAAACTCGGTTTAAAGTTTCTGGAATTCATTAGAAATATACTTCGAATGAATTCATGGATGACGAAACTATTAATACAGTTATATAGACCTTACGTACTTACTCTTGTTGTCCCTCAAGGAGCTTAGGTTGCAATCATGATTCTCCAACCAACTCTGTTCTGAGTCTTCTCTTCCAGTTCCACCCAATCGCTATTCATTATTTTCATGTCTATCTCAAACTACCGGCTCAGTGTGTTCTTTGGCCTACCTCTTTCAATCTGATATTGAGGATTGCGAGTTAGGGCTAGCCTTGTGACGCAGCTGGGTACATTCCTCAACGTTTGTTCTATCCACCTCCAGCATCGTTTTTTTCTTCCTCATCTGGGATCTGGTTTGCTCTCTAACACAGTAGATTGTTTCTGATGGTATCTGGCCGATGGATCCAAAATTTCTCGCGTAAACAACTGTTAGTAAATCCATGTATATTTATGACGACTGTTTGTGTAGTTCTTCAAATGCCAACTCAGTATAACAGAACAGTCTTGACTTTAGTATTGGGGATTCTGACTTGATGTTGGTCGATGGTTGTCTTGTCCTATTGTATGAACGCCAGTTTCGCTTTGCCAACCTATGCCTTTACATTTACCTCAGATTCACCTTGTTTATCAATGAAACTGCCCAGGTACGGAAACAATTTCAACTTCTTCCAAAGTTGACCCATCAAGTGTCGGTCAGTTGGTGCTCTATGTTGCAGAAATAAGATCTTGCTTTTCCCTTGTGAATCAAAATGTCTACTTCTGTTAAGTTTGCTGCTACACTAGCTGTCTTCAACTGTCTTTGTTGCAATGTGTGTGCGTGATATAAATGCTAGGTGACCTGCGAAGTCCAAATCATCTAGCTACAAGCATAGTACTTCCCTGAGACGTGGAGGTTTCTATAATTCAGTTAACCATCAGAAGAGAGAGAAAGTGTGAAGGTAAGCATTCTTGTCTGACATAAGTTTTCAGTTAGAAAGCATCTATGAGTTATCCTCCATGGGCAGCTTTGTGGTGTAGTCCGTAAACGTTCAGCGTGATGTTGACAATATCCTAAGTACACCATAGTGTTGAAGAATATTTCATGAAACTCTCCTATTCACGCTGTATAGTGCTTTCTTATAGTCAAGAAAACTGATGCATAGTGGTGATTTTCATTCAGTTGATTGTTCCATAGTGATCCATATTGTCCCAGTTTGGTCCGTACATGATCGATCCTTATGGAATCCGGCCTTCTGACCACGAACTTGGGTATCTGCTGAATCCTTCTTTTGGTGTAACAGCACTCCGTTGATGACTTTTACTGGTACTGAGAGTAGAGTGACAATTTTGCAGTTTTCACTTTTCCTTGGTATTTCAATAAAGTATCTTTCATTCCAGTTTTATGGTACTTGTGGTTCTTCATAAATCTCTCTAGAGATAACGTAGAGCACATTTGCACTTACTATTGTATCTACTTTCCTTGCACCAGTTGGTATTTTTTTCTGGTCCTGCTGCCTTACCACTCTCCATTTTTCTGATAGTCATGTTGATTTCTACCATTACTGGCGGATTAACATCTATGCAAATAGTCAATGGTACTGGTTTTTTTTCAAGAGCTTTTCAAAGTGCTCTATCCACCTGTTTCACTGTTCTTGGATGCCAGTGACTGATTCTCCTACCTTGTTTTTGATTGGTTACTCCGACTTACTCTACTTTCCATTTAGGTTCGTCGCTCTATGGTATAGTTGTCTGTTCATATCTTCGCTTGCGACATTTTCCACTGTCATTAATGAATCCTCCACATATTTCTATTGATCAGCTTTAATGCTCTTCATCGCTTGCTTGTTTGCTTCTGTATACTGAACCTGTGCAACCACAAGATGGTGATCCGAGGCTATGTCAGCTCCTCTCTTTGTTCTTATGTCATTCATGGTCCTTCTAAACTTTATATTGATGCATATATGATCGATTCGGTTCACTTTAGTATGGTTCAGTGAAACTCATGTAGTTTTGTGTATTGTACGGATCTTACTACTGTATAAAATAGAAATACGTGTAATTACTTACTTATATTCTTGGTTAACCAGTATGCCTGCTGCACATGCACGCCGCTGCATTTTAAGCAACACAAGGATTCTCACAAGAGCCAATATTGCGATCACCCCTGCCCCATACGGGAACGAACATGTTGTCTAGATTGGTCTGCAGACAAGTGGACGTCCAAAAAATACGCGCACGAGTAGTGGCCCTCGTTCGGGCACTTATGAATCAACAAGATTCATCCAACCAATCCACTACCCACAATCCGCAATCGACAAGGGCGGCAAGGCGGGCTTTCCCAGCTAGACCTGGCGCCCCGAACGGATTACTGACCGGAGCCCTCAGACCTCACATGGAACTAAAGATCGAATTTGTCCCACAAGGTCACCCGGAACGTACATCCTCTTTTGGGAAAGATGTCATGGAGACAACCAAGCGCAAGCACTCGGCCAAGCAGGGTTAATCCCACAAAAGTGGGCAGACATCATTGGCATCCAGTACCCTTTAGCACCGGATCACATAACCCAACTAGAGACTCTTGTTTAAGGGGCCTCGACGCCAGTTTACACAAAACACAGAGATGCACAGTGTTTGGGACAACCACATAGGGTCAGCGTCAATAGTCCAGTATCTTTACGGCTGCTTCCCCGAACAAATCGTCTAGGAACACCTTCAAGTATCCTGGAAAGCTATGTCCCAATATTTCAAATTTACTTACGCCCGATGGACGGGATTCAGACTTCGAGGCGTTCAGTCCTAATCCCCCAGAGTGGCTAACCGCATCCATGGCCTTGCGACCATGAACACGTACCATTATTCTGGACCATGCTTGGCACGGCATCCTAAGCGTTCGGAACGGCTTTTAGCCTCAGCGATGTATCCACCGCCGCGTTGCCTGGCAGGACCACGAAGAGGTAGCCGCACGTCACTTAGTGTACACATTCAATTAGATGACGAGGCATTTGGCTACCTTAACAGAGTCATATTTACTTATATTTTATCTCAATAACCTAAAAGTTCATCCATGCTATATACAGTAGACAATAATTAGTCAATTTGTAGGTGGAACTTGTTTTGTCTTTTTACTAATAACTAAATATCTTACGACTAAAGAATATTTAATTTTATGCACCACTATCCTAAATTAGTTAATATCATATCAGAATTACATAAAGTTTTCTGTTATCAGTAGTATCGTCTGATGTTGATTTAAACAATCTAACGGGTTGTGATTTATGTCATTATTTAACAATTAAAAAAAACACAAAATACCAATTCTGTATTATCAATGAATGATTTAAACTTCCATGTAAACTATCTTTAGAAGCGATGTTTTCACAATCTCGATAATTGGTAGGTCATTAGTAAAATAATCATTTCATTTCAACATTTACTATTTTTAACATTCTTTTTGTTTACACATTTGTATAAATGATAAACTTTTTTCTATTCTGATTCTTTATTCTTCACATATTTCAGTAGGTACAAAAGCATATTTAATCTATGCTGGCTTAGAACCCCCGGAATTTTTAGCTTTATTCCCACCTTATGTTAGATTGATGGATGCGGTAGCTTATCATCAATTTGAAGTAAGTAATATTAAACATGAAATTGTATGTTTTTGTACTCTGAATGAAATTGACATATTTATTTGAATGCTCTAATTCCATGATATATCGCATCTTTATACGTACTACAATAAGTTATTGTTTCATATTATCTAACGATCACTATATCTGATTAAGTGGATCCCATCTGCAAAAAACTGACTGGATTGTTTCAATTTCTGAACAGAATTAAGAGTAGTTCAGACACCTCTAATGCAACTGTTCATCAACAGTTTGACCTGTGTTTATGTATTCACTCACTGTCTTGAAAGATATAACACTGTCGTTATAGTTTTATATCAAATTACCGAACTGTATGTTTAACGCTTACAAATAAATAAACAAATCTAATGTGAAATTATTTTATGTTACTAATGTGAATCAAACTGTTTTTGTTTGGAAGGTGATTTAAAATTTCAATTTTGCTGACTACTTATACACCATGACATTGTATCATAAAATGTACTATTCAGTAGTATAGTGCGTTTACAAGAACCGTATAATCACTGACCTTGTAACAACTTTAACTATGACTGAGTTGGATGACCGAATTTCAAACATCACTTCCATGTGAAGGTGATGCAGCTTCACGTTAAGTTTATTACATTCAAAATAAAACTATCAATGTGTAATCGTATAGAATAGTTTCGATTAAATGTTGAACATTGATCGTTAGCCATTGTACTTTAGGGTAAGTTAAAACTAATTAATTATGGCACCTAGGGATATTTAACCTAAATTTACAATTCAATCAAATGTTATTTTTATGATCATCTGGTTGGTTAACATTTTTTTATTGTACTTAATTGCACACAATGAATAAAGTGAAAATCAATAATGTAGATTATCAAGCCAACCATTCAATGACTTCAACTTTTGTTTAAACTAATATTAAAATTTCCGGCGTGTAATTAGAATATTTTCTTTTTATTTTGAATATAATCTAAAGAAAACACTTATTTTAGTCAAAAGTTGAGTTTAAAGACACAAAAAGTTATATTCAAACAAGTCAAACAAAGAATTCTGATGCTTTGCACTAATTTTTTTAAATTTATTTATTGTATTCACTATGCAAAACAACCTTTCTAGAACTTAATTTAGCAACAGCTGTGAATACAATATCATTAAATATTATTAAAATAATTCCATTTGACATACTTCAGTTTGTGAAGTTTCAATAAATGTTCGAAACATAATTAAAATCATAATAATAATCCAGATTAATCGATACTGCAAATCAACACTGCATTGCTGAAACTCTACATACAAAACTTTTAACTAAAGAACTTATTTCAGCACTGGAAAATTTACAAAAGAGTAATGAGATCATAATTATACAAGATATGGATTTCAGTGTTGTAATAATGAATGGAAAAGATTGTTTGTATAAAATGCTGCAAATCATCAACGATACATTAAAGTTTTAAGTCACCAAATCTAAAATTGATTTTATTGTAGCTACTGAACACGGAGTGAATAAACAAGTGAAGGGACTTTCGGAAAACGAACTCATTGGTAATTCAACATACAGCGATTTCATACAGTTTGTTCCCTTCATGAATTTAAATAAAGCCAGAACAGCAAACGAAGCAGAATGATATCAATTAACTATATTTCATGGTTCCTCATCATTTTCCTACAACCATATATATAAAAAAAGATATAACAAGGTATGATGTAATACGAAGCAATCTACATTGATAACTGAAGGGATTAAAATTAACAAGGAATACCAATAATAACTATATATTTCTGTGCGTGAACAGGGTCTAACAAGATCATTAATCTCGCCAAATCTTGTTTGCTTATCATCTAATCCTTCAATTTCTAACTCTAGACAGGTGATCTATTTCTAGGATTTTTACGCGATTCATCTTCTCCATTGCTGAATTTCATTTGATTACTGTCTCACCACTCCTTATGTTTTTTAGTTGAATTCTATCTCTTAATCACCTCAAACCTGTTCAAGCACAGACATATATGTGTATACATAATTATGATGATTGTGGTGGTGTTTCGTTCTCTGAGCTGGAACGAAACACCACCACAATCATCCACCTGAGCTACAAATTTTCTCCACCATCTCATAATTATGATGTATCTTAACTAATTTAATCCCTCCCATTATCGTATCACATAACACCTCATTGTTATACTCTATTGTATATGTAGTTGTAGGAAGCTGGTGAGAAACCACGCAATATAATGAGTTCATTTCATTCTTACCACAACTCGAAAACAAAAAGTTCATAACAGCCTTGTGTGTATGGTCTCTTTAAAGTGCACAAATCCAACATCCAGTTAAGACTTCTATGGTGAACCCAGCACATCATAATTTAACCTGATGGTTATATAAATTAATCGTATCAATTCGTAAGAAAACGACATCTTATTACTTAAAAGACGCATTTCCATTTTCCAGAGAAGTACATGATCTAAATATATCAGAAAAATTGATATCAGTTGACATATGTTCATCATGAATGAGTAAACCATTAAAAGAAACTGTTAACACAATTTGCAAACAGTTCGAAGTACTGCCTCCAAATGAGTTGAGGAAATTGCTACCACTTGTCACGAAAGGAGTTCAGTTCCGATTGAACTATCAGCTACACAAACAAACCGATGCCGCAGCGATGGGATCATCATTAGGTCCTATTGTGGCTGATATCTTCATAACTAATTTATAACGAACGAAACTAAAACACAAAATCCGGATCACAATATAATACTTGAGATGTGTTGATGACAAGTTGATTATCTGTGATGACATGGGCCACGCTTCTGATCTATTCAGTGATTTCACCTAATCTCATTCAAACATAAAGTTTGCAATGGAATATGAAAGAGATAACCAATTCGATATTCTAGATCCTAGTATAAGACGGAAAAATGATTGGTGTTTAGCAAACTATATCTAGGAAAGAAGCACATACAAGGCAGCATTTACGCTTTCACAGCTTTTGCCCTATTAGTTATAAAAGGTTTCCAGTCAAAACGCTTTTCAATAGAGGTAGATTATTGTGCTCAAAATAAACAAGAAATTGACTATCCTAGAAAAAGATCTCACAAAATATAGTTACACGAAGAAATTTGTTTCGAAATTCTGAAACGAATATCCGATTAATGATAAGCAACCAGTTGTTTGAAAAAAACTTCTTAATCCGTCTTTTGCCCAAGAGAATGAGGCTTCAAGAATCATCTATGGAAGAGTCAAGGCGGTACTTAAGAGATACAGCCGTGCTACTCAATGGATTTCACTATACCACACCTTGTTTATTATTCCCTTCCGATTTCATCTCCAATTGCCTCTATGAATTTACATGCGGGAAGGTCAGAAAAAGTAACCTTTTCGAAGTTTTCCGAACATATTCTCCGGAATGTACAGCTGAAGGGAAGTTAAGTATTTACAGATGTAATCACTAAACTTCGTTTTAATAATGATGATTGACAGAGGTAGTCACTATCTAACGTTTTCCACCTGACCTATGAATTTGAAATAAAAAAAGATTAGCTTTTGCCTGCCACTATTAATGTTGCTTTATGAGAATTTTTTTAACCCTGTCTCCAATCTTTTTTTCATCATTCTTACATCTCCTGATATTCATCTCTTGCATAATCTTATTGATATTTACATAATTATTGATTTCAGCATGTTGGGCAGTTGCGTAATCACTTTTTATTTTTACTGTCTTTACATATTCTCTTTTCTTTTGATTACAACAACTGATTTACTCTGCATTATTACTTTCCAAAATATAGATACACATCCATTTTCAACTGATAATAATTCCGAACTCGTACTTTGTAACCATGTGTTGTAATATTGTAAGATAGTTATCAAATCCCGAACATGTCTACGGATAGAGCTAAACTGAAATTTAATAGTTGCTTTTGTTATATTGCTTCTCAATGATAGTTCAGCAGATGACAGCTATAAATGAGAATCATGATTGAAAAACATTCATTTTCTTTGTAACTCACTACATTTATTCATATAAACCAAGCTGACCTTAGAAAAAAGATTCATCTGATATTTACCAACATTGATATCAGATTGGTTTCATATTTCCTCATTAACACGATTCAATATGTTTCATTTCGAATAGTTCACTCTTTAAATTTGACCGAAAATCTAGAAGGAATGGAAAAAATGTTAGTTCAGTATTTTTTTTCTTTCCACAACTTTGCAAGCAGTGAAGAATAGAAATGCATGGATTATGCTAAATATCATAGAATGTAAACTTCCTTTTTGAAAATCAAGATTTAAGAACAATAGATTTCATTTCTCTTTATAAAATGGTGGCAATAAATGATAAAATTCATCACTTAGAATTATCTACCAACAACCAAAAAAGAAAAACGATCTACAGTCAAAAAAAATAGCGAACCAGTTTATTATACTACTTAAATTAATGATCCTTTTCCATAATCACTTGTTCAATGTTCCTTACTATTTCATGGTAAAACAATGATATTATTAAAATGCTTATGTGTTATCCATTAGTCTACCAATCATAATAATAATAATAATATTATGATAATATTTTACCAGATTAAAAAATATCTAGGTTATAGCAAATAATTTGCTTTCTAGATAATTTTTCTCTTTCTTGAAATATCATTCATGTTTCCGCCTCAACTGACTCGTTCATTGGTCCAATGTTTAAAGATGTCTAATGCGAATACGAGTTGTAGGTAGACAAGTGTAACATAGTTATGCACTTATATAAACGTATGAAAAAAAATAACTAATTGAAATTAACTTGTTCTAATTCATGCTTGATATTTCTATATTATGTAAAAGAAAAAATATGAAAATATTTATTACACTAGAAGAAATTATTAGTCAAAAATAATTTTATATATGAATCTTTATCAAGTATTAGATAAAAAAGAACAATGTAGCTGTTACTTGTTCATAGAAATCAAATTCGTTCCAATATAGTCACAAGATACAAACAAGGTTTTCACTCGTGAATTATAATGCTGAAAATATCATAGTTATCAAACAATTTTTTTATCAATCAGAAAACATCAATATAAACCATAAGATATTTCTTTTAAACTGCAGAAACTTCCACTGTTATGAATAAATTGTTATAGTTTACTATAGTGAAGTTATTACTTCAGTTATATAAATGATAAATACCATTGTGCATGAATGAAAAGTAATCTCTAACATTTTAACATTGATATTGTCAAATAAGATTGTGTCAGCATATAATCAAGCTTAATTACTTGATTATTTTTTTTTGGTTTGCTTTATTATTATTTAGAATGATAAAACTAACCGTCAAAAAGATTTAGTTGACGATCTATTATCATCATACACATCGGCATCATATACACTGAATGATCTTCAACAACGTCCTCTTCCACCTGAACTGGATGCAACGTGTTTAGAAACGTATTTGGATGAACAAACGTTCCAAGTAAGTTAGTTGTACATACAAGTTATTGATTGGAACTTGTTTTTTTTACATTCGCATTTAATTCAGTAAATCATACGGATTAGTATTATTATCAAAGGATGAATTGAATGTTTAATAATTATAGGTTATTTGTCCGTATAAAATTGAAGTCTATTATTTAAATGAGAGAAAATGTTTCAACAGGTCTACTTGGTAAAATAATACTTCGAAGAAAAACTGAAAGAAATATTCTTTTAAGACACTTATCTCACTGTTTATATTATACTTTAGATTTTAAAATATCTACGCGAGACTTCAAATGATTAAGTATAATAATAGTTTGAATATAAAGCGAAATATCCTTTTAATGATTCAATTTTAGACGGTGTTTTGTGGCCTACCACAGTACAGTATAAGATGGGCATAACATTTCATTATATGTATATACATATATATCTTATAGATATCAAGGCATGTGAATTAAATATTAATCTAACTAACAAATTCAGTAGTAGTCTTATGATTTAATTTTCGTTTAATTTTTTTTTTACTTTCAACTATAGGCAACATTTTCAATGTCTAAGGAAGATTTCAGCAAACTACCAATTTGGAAGCAAACTGAAATGAAAAAGTATTTCGGTTTATTCTAACTGAATTATCCGTTTGTTCAATTTCTTCAAATTTTTGCAAGTCTACTCATAAATTCAGCACAATCGCATATGCTAGTTCAACATTCACTGTATTATGCATGATGAAATTTACTAAATTTACAAGAAAATGTAGAAAAAAAATTCTTTCATTTATAAATAAATTAGAATTCACAACAACAATTTTGTAAATGCACACACGCAAATAATACACATACATAATCAGATTTTCACTAACAGATAATACCATATCATTAAACAATCCCGGAAGTGATGACCTTGAATTTATTGAATACTCTTCTACCCTCTGGAATGTAAACCAATTTTATTTTGAGAAAAAGAATTCTTTTTTTTCCACATATTTATATATGCTTATTTACTTATTGACTTATATATATTCTTTATCATATTGACTGGTTTACTTTTTTTTCTAGAATTTCAAAAGTATGAACTTGTTTTTATGTAACTATTTTTTTATATACAATCATTGTTTATGGAGTAAGAGTTGTAGGTTGACTATGGTACTATTACTACTACTACTACTACTACTACTAATTCTAATACTACTACTATTATCATTGGTACTACTGATTATATATATAATGCATCATTACATAATTTCTACCATTCAAGTTGTTTATTTCTCGTTCACTCATCAAGAAGTGTCCATATCAATGAGTGTTTTATTCTACATTTCAATATACCATAAATATATGAACACTTTGTACAATCTTATTATCATCTATTCTAATCCATGCATGTGATAATAAATAGTGTGTGTTAAGTTGGAATAGAAGACTAGAGCAAATAAATTCTTTATTGCCTTAAACAATTAATTATTATTTTGTTTCATTTTTAAAGAGAAAAAAACTGCTACTCATGGATAAATCAATAATATAAAACATACTATAACCAATAACACGAAAAAAACAAAAACAAATCAACAGTACAGTACTTATATGTATTCATTTCCATAACTCATATTTATTGTCTTTCATAGTGTATGTGCAACATTACATTTATGTAAACATAGTAGTATTAGTCTTGAATGTGCCTTCTAGCGACGATTGTTCACTTCTTTGAACAGAAAAAAATAATAAAGAAACGATACATTGACATTGAATCACTTTTTTTTCTTAAAAAAAAATTCTTCTTCTAAATAAATTTATATTGATTAAAAATGTGTATAAGTATGCTGATAAGTTTCATCAAATAAAAATATGGTTATATTTCATAATAACGGTGTGTTTGTTAGTATCTCTAGCACAAAATCGATTAATATTATTATTATCATTATTACGATTACTATTAACATTGTTTTACAGTCGATAGTCGTCTACTGCTAATTTCTTTTGAATGATGCAATAAACAGAATTACTTGCATTATACCTACTTAATACTTTAGTCATGCAATAGATTTGCATGTTTTTTTAGTTGTAATTCAAGTTGAAAAAGCCTAATATACCAGGTCCCTAAGTTTTTATTAACTCAGGATGAACATACTAACTATAATAATGCAAAGTTTTTTTTTGATGAGGATTTTATTCGTCTAACAAAAAAAAGTACATTTTGGTCATCGTTATTTTTGATGAAAGTTTTATTTCTGCTTAAGCTATATAGTTAATTAGTAGTATTAACATTCCTTAATGTAACAGTGTGAAATCCATTAATAATATATCATTAAAGAGGATGAAGTTGATCTTTATCAAACAGAAACTATTCGTCTAATGTTTGATTACACAAAAAAATGCATTAGGTATTTTGTTTTCTGTTCTCATACAAGTTGCCCATCACCTGGATTATCAGACCTTTTTTGATGAAATAGACGAATAAATTAGAAATAGTTCAATTTTCATAATATACTGTCGACGGTATTACATTTTTCAAAGTAATGGTGCTTTTCTAATCTAATTTATATTTTGTAAGCTGATATATATGTATATCATCAACAAAGTAAGAAATGTTGTTCTTGTGTACACGGCTCTAGTTAAATACATAGGATAGTCAATCTCCTATTGTCAAGAATAGATTGAAATCAGAAGCCTTTATTTTTTTGGTGATGTCTAATGTAAACGAAAAGTATCATGCATTTGGTTTTTCTGTTTGATAAAACATTTTAAGATTATACTACCACAAAAGAAAAACATGATCGAACTTAGTCCAATTGTTTTTGTACTGATTATCACATATATTTGAGTGTAAATTCAAACAAACAGATATTTTGTTAGACAGTAGTAATACACATTTTGTGCATATTACCAGGATTCACATCTGTAAACAATCTTTTCACATTCACAGTTAAACGATTAAATATTAGCAGTCTGTTCTAAATCTCATACAAAATTGAAGTGATTTTTAATATACAACAACTAGTATTGGCGAGAAATATTTGTTACTGTCATCACGATTAATTTTGATCGCATTATACGAGAGAGAATTTCAAAATAAGCGAACAGAATACTGTCTTCTTGTTGATGATATGTGCAAGTGAAATTCATCGATAAAGTATAATTTTCTCCACTGCCTGATCAGAATTTTTTGGACAAAAAAGAGAGTAAATAGCATTTAAAAAAGATAATAAAATTCATTTAAATGAACTTAGTTAGTAATATAGTTTTATAAAATAGATATGTCAATAGTTTGTATTACTGCAGAAAGGCATGATTAACACTCTATGGCTAAATTGAACTGCTCAATTCTAGTAATGAATCATTATACTGTTGTGTGATTTTTATATCAACCAAAAATATTTCGACTTAGATTAGCCAAACAAATTAATATCATTGTGTAACAACAAAAGATATTGTAAGGTATCATCAGCTTCGTTGTTGATCAAAGTACTTCTCGTCATTAAAGTGAATAGTGATTTTGAAAAGTCACAAGAAACTTATGTCACTCCTAATCAGTGAAAATGGCCAAAAACCATAGGGATATAAGAAGCAATATATTACTAGCGAATTTCCTGATTATATGATGAACATAGGCATTGACCAGAATCGAGAATTTTAAGACAGTGGTGTTAAATGTAACTCTGACGTAATTCATACCAAAGGTTTTGATCTTTGAAGACTACCCATGTTTATCTTGATATATTCATCAAGTCTGCTAAATGTAACTACTGTCTGGTGTTTTGTGAACGAGAAAATAGTTGGTACTGATGTCTCATGTCGCATTGGGTTTAATATGATATGCTGTCAACTTAAGGAAATTGACAATTGTTTTGTCTTTGTTTCGTAATTTTTTAAATATTAGTGAACGTGTCGGGGATGTTAGATACCCAAAACTCGCTTGATAAATGCCTTATTTTGGATTTCACGTTTTCGAGCATGGACTAATCAGTTGACCTAGAGATTTCATTTCCCACCAGTAAAATCCATGGCTGTGATTGGCTGTTGTGTATTTATTTTAGTGTGCAATTTTCGTAACTGTCTCAAGGACGTTTCTTTGATGTATAAATAAACGAGAGTTGTGTGCTTGATTGTATTGTGATTGCTGGGTGTTTATAGAATATACTTTCTACGCTTACAAAGCCTTTTAACTTCAGCTTGGGATTCAAGGTAGCCTACCTGGACGCTGGTAATTGTCTCGTTCGCGTTTATCGACTAAGGTGAACTCGTAATAGCTTCAAGCATACCTAGTGACGAACATAACAGAACGCTAAATAAGTAATGTGGCTTCTATAAAATACTTCATATCACAAATTATTTTCCTCTAACCGACTATTACAACCCTATTTCACCTTTCTCATATCCTATTTTTAATATCACAGAGTTTTTCGAACTTGCGATCAGATTTAAAATGGGTAACAAAATTGAAATATCACATATAACTGAAAGTTGACATTTTTCGGCGTATAAGCCTAGACTATATTGATATATTCACTTTTTACCTCACAAAAAGTTGTTTCCAATTAATAATACCCGTGCATATGATGACTAGAAAATTCGCCTCTCAAAACGTTTTGCACTTATAGCGTTAAGCTACTTATGAGTAGTTACGATTTATTTATAAAATAAAATGCTGTAGAATAACCTCAAGGGATATTGATATCATTACTGATTCCGTTATAGTGCCATGCAGGTCCAGTTACCTACAGAAACTTCAACATTTTAAGGGCTTCAGGAGGTATTCCCTTATGTATACGAGAAAACGCGAAGGGAACTTTCACACTTTTTAGCAATAGCTTCCATATAAAGTAGTGTGAACTGAGATCTTTAGTCACCCAAAATAGCTCTGTGGCTGTGTTAAATTCGAAGTAGAGCTCACCAGTTTGGTGACCCAAGACTTGACTTCGGTTGAACGGTCGATCGAGTATGCGACGAAATAAATCTTCTTTTCCATTTCCGTATATCATACTTAGACAAACTATATTTGTGCGACAGCTGTAATTAAAATCCGAATACGGTTTGGAGGATGAATTTATTTCATGCGTGTGTTTAAGCAGACCAACGATGAGAATGAAAAGCGTACGGGCAAAGCAAAGCTAGGCAAGTGAGCCAAATCCCATGCGCTGAAGCAATGACTAATTATTTGTAGTCAGATGAGAATAGGCTAGACATGTAATAGGCGAGTAAACAAGCACACGCACAATCAAATACACAATAATCGATTACGTTATCGAATTATTACAAATATAAGAAATGATCGATACAATTATCGAATAATTTAGACGACTAAATAATAAATTCATTATAATGAATAAACGGCGAGGTGCTACAGCTCAAATTAAAGTTACTTTTCGTGATAAAACTCAATCTATAATTAGACCAAAAGGAAATATTGCTAGTCATTATGAGTAACTTGTCAAAATGCGATCGGTTATTCAGTAACATAAGGATTTCTGTTTACCTCAACTTTATCCTAGCAGAAGACAGCCAAATATAATATAATGTTATGGAGCACATATTCTTCTGAAAATCAAAGATTTTGTTCTAGTTTGAATATATGAAATCAATCGTAGAGTGAAATAACTTTCGAATAGGAATAATGTTAAACAATATACA